AGGAGAGTGAGGCCACCTTAGATGGGTGGCTTCTTTTTAGCAACAACAGCAGCCTGGATACCAGGAGGCTTCTTGGGTCTAATCCCAACACTGCCACCTGTGACATCAGACAAGGTTCTTACTCGTTGGGATATTAGCTTCCCCGTCTGTGGGAGGGGTGAGTCGTGGGTCAGAGAGTCTGCCCTAGAAATTGTTTGAAAGGCCCTCTCGAAAGCTGTAGGTGGTTGTGTGCATGGGCGGAACCTTTGGGGAAAGCAAATTGATGATGCCAATCATCAGTGTGACTCTCTGCTCTTAGGAATCCCACAAGCGGGCACAGAACATGCACTAGTGCCGGTGCAGACCGACTGAGGGGAGGGGCAGTGGTACGGACAGTCAGGGTGGAGAGCTGGCAACCGCCCTGGAGTTAGCGAAAGAAGGGAAGCTGGAGGGCTATGTAGCTAGTGGGGCGAGAGGAAGAGGCTAAGGGCCCAACTGCATTGATCTTATCTCACCTGAGTGAAAACAATTCTAAACGTGTGTGTGTGGCGTAAAATCTAGCCCTAGAATTTTTTTCTCCATTTTAACATCTCTGAAGTTGGTTTTGCTTGTTTAATATTTATTTGTTAGGCTGTGCCGGGTCTTAGTGGTGGCACCTGGGGTCTTCGATCTTTGCTGCTGCACACAGGGTCTTTAGCTGCTGCATGTGAACTCTGAGTTGTGGCAAGAGAGATCTAGTTCCCTGACCAGGAATCGACCCTGGATGCCCTGCATTGGAAGTGTGGAGTCTTAGCCACTGGACCACCAGGGAAGTCATTGAAATAGTTTTGTCTAATAATTGAATCAATGGTATCTTTTTTTCAACTTTTTTCTTTAATATTTATTTATTTGACTTTGCTGGGTCTTATTTTCGGCCCATGGGATCTTTGCTCTTTAGCTGTGGCATGCAAACTCTTAGTTGCAGCAGGTGGGATCTAGTCCCCTGATCAGGGATCGAACCTGGGCCCCCTGCATTGGGAGCACGGACTCTCAGACACATCACCACCAGGGAAGTCCCTGAAATAGCTTTGTCTTATAATCACATCAATGGTATCTTAAAGTTGATGAGCTAAAGTAAAACAGAGAGAGCAAGTGTGGGCACAGGATCCCCTGAGTAAAGGCGGAACTTTCACTTCTGCTTTAAAGGCTTCGCCACGCATTTCTTAAATACAACAAGCATCTATAGATGTACCTTGAAGACATTAGGCTAAGTGAAATAAGCCAGTCACAAAAAGACAAATATTGTATGATTCTATTTATACAAAGGATCTCAAGCAGTCAAATTTATAGAAACAGAAAGTAAGAGTGATGGTTACCAGGGGCAGAGGGGAAGGGGAAATTCTGAGCATTTGTTTAATAGGTTTAGAGTTTCAGATATGCAAGATGAAAAAGTTCTGGGGTCTGTTTCACAATGGAAAAAAAAAAGCAATGTAAATATACTTAATACTACTAAACTGTGCACTTAAAAAAGGGTAAGTGGTAAATCTTACGTGTTTTTTTTCACCACAATAAAAAAATTTTTGAAATCTTACAGACTGAACAAAAAACATATTAGGCATCTGTTTTCATTAATTCCTTTGTATATGATCTATGGGTTTTCCATCAGTACTGTGTTATTAAAGTTTCAGGATTTTTTTTTTTCCCAGCTACAATCTAAAGAAAGAAAAAAAAGAGAGAAAGAAGACAGGAGAAAGGGAGGGAAGCAGGGGAGAACTAGGGAAGGAGAAAAAGGAAGGAAGGGAGGGAGGGAAATGAAAAAGGTACATGGAAGAAAAATCTGGAAGATTAGACTGTCACCAGGGAATAGAACTGGGTGACCCCCTTGCTTTCTATCTTACAGTGTTTGTATGTTATGTTAGTCGCTCAGTTGTGTCCAACTCTGCAACATCATGGACTATAGTCTGCCAGGCTCCTGTGTCCGTGGGTTTCTCCAGGCAAGAATACTGAAGTGGGTTGCCATTTCCTTCTCCATAGTATCTTCCTGGTCCAGAGATCAAACCTGGGCCTCCTGCACTGCAGGCAGATTCTTTACCATCTGAGACACCAGGGAAACCCATCATGTTTGTATAGTTCAAGTTATTTTAAAACATAAAAAAATACCTAAAATATAACCATACAGAAAGAAACCAATTTAAAAAAATGTTTTTGAAAATACTCTAGCTAAAAAAGAATTCCAGTGAGCCAGCAGCAGGGGATACATCTGAGGCGGCCCCTCTTTGAGGTGCACAGCTGGATCCACGCGTCCGGCACATGGGGCTGGGGTATGGAGCTGCCCCAGGCGGGTCTGGCCGGACAGCAGGGCATCCGCAGGAAACAGCTGGAGTGGTTGCTTCAGGCAGCACATGTGAGGTTGGCAGCGGGTGGGAGATGCCCCCTCCCCCGAGGAGGGGTGAGGGGTATGGGTACCTCACAGGGGTACCCGGGTAAAAGGGTTCACGGGAGGGCCCTGAACCCCCAACTAGGAGGCGGACTTGGTCCTGACCACGGTGGGAAGCCAGTGAAGGTTTCAGAGCAAAGCTGGCCATGATGAGGTGGCTTCAGGAAGCTAAGTTTGGCCAAGGGTGGCCCCGTCTAAGTTGGGTCTGTTCTGAGGAAGTAGGAGCACGGTGGGTGGGGGGGGGGTGGGGTGGGGGGGGGGTGGTTGAGGACTAGACCCCAGGCCTCTTGCTCTCAACATCTTCCATCAAAGTCCTGCTTGCTAATTCTGAACTGGTTCCCCCCCCAGGCTTCCATTCGGGCCCTTCTTCCCTCCTGACATCCCCTCCCTCATCAGTTGCACCTAACACAGCACAGGGCACGTGGCTACCGACTGAGTGAATACACCTGTGAGCCAAGCCAAAGGCGGGGCCATTCTCGCCTCCGGCCAGCTCCGTGGGCCCCATCCCGCTGGCGCGGTGCCCAGGAGAACTCGTTTCCGTCCCCTTGTCTCACAGTCACCCTTTGTTAGGCCTCTGCTCCCAAGGGCATCTTATCTAACTAAACAGGTTGTAATCTCCCAGAGTCACAGACCCCCTACCTCCTGCCAACCTGGAGTAAACAAGCCCTTTAGCTGAGAGGTTGGAGGGATCCACAGCTCACACACCTGGCCAGGGCTGCAGCCCTGCCTGACTCCCTCCTGTTCAGGCCTGCAGGATACTCCGGCTCCCTCCCTGGGCACCACCCCCGACCCTTCCCACCCTGCTTACAGCCAACCTCTAACCCCACTGCCTGCCTCTCCCCATCAACCTCCTCCATCCCATCCCCCGTGCTTCTGGGACAGAAATGTCATCCTCTCCCACCCCGTTCTCTTCCTGTGGGACGCTCTTCCCCTCCAAACCTCTGCAGGAAGCGTCCTCAGGAAGAGCGTCACCTCCACAGCTGCAGCGCCCCATGCAGCCCTCACTGCCCAGAACCTGCCTCGGGCCCCTCCCCTCCCTTGATCCTGACCTCCTTGAGAGCAGTGTCTGGTTTCAGCCCAGAGGGAGCTGGGGTTCTGAGAGGGGGAGTGACTTGCTTAAGGTAACACTGGCAGGGGGAGGTCAGACTGGCAGAGCCAGGTGAGTTTGGCTCCGGAAGCCCTTGCACCCCCAGCCCCCAGGGCCACCAGGTCTCCACCCAGGCTGTAAAATGCATGATTCACAAAGAAGCCGGCCATTCTGCTGGAGTGCGGGCTCCTAGCCTGGAACGTGTGGGCCCCAAGTACTGGGCCAGAGAGACAGCTAGAACTCAGACACAGGAAATGGGGTTGGAGCTTAGGTGCATTTATTTCTGTACAAATCATTACAAAATCAAGTCTAGGGTAGTCACCGGCCCCCAACCCTTGCCCCAAAGTGCAATGACTCACTGCTGGCCTTCTTCCCCACCTGACCCTGCCCATTCCACGGCCTCCTCCAGGAAGCCCTCCAGTCTCTTCCCTTCAAGACTCCAGAAGAGCTGGGGGGTAAATCCAGCCCACTGAGGCCCAGCAATAAAGTGCCTGATGTAAAGGAAGGTGACAGAACTTAGGCGACAGCTCCCAGGCCTCTAGAGCCTTCCCAGGCCCAGGCAGGGGAAGGTCCTTGGACTACTCCAGCAGCTGCAAACAACGCGGCTTCGGGAAACCTCAGGTGGGCTGGGATCCCCCCTCCTCCCAGCCCCAAAGTCTCCTCCAACAGATGGAAAACCTCATGGCTGGATGGCAGAAACAGGGGCCTGGCTCTTTAAGAGCCAGGCTAATGGCAGCTGGGCAGAGGGGCTAAGAAAACAACTGAAGGTTTGTCCCTTCTTTTCAGAGTTCCCTAAAGCCTGAGGAAGTTGCACAAAAATACCCTCAAGTTTCCAGGAGGAGGTGAGGAAGAGAACCCCATACCCTCAGGAAGCTGAGCCCCCCCGGCAAGGGGCGGGGGCTGGAAGTGTCCAGTCTTAAAGGAGGACAGACCCAAGGTGGTCAGTGGGGAGAGGTGGGAGGGTTCTCAGACTCTACAATTAGAACCTGACACAGGCAGAAGGCGGCCCAGAGATGGGGCAAGGGGTTTGTTCGAGGCCACTCAGGGCAGAGGCAAGACCCAGATACCAGTCTCCCACCCTGGAGAGCCCCCCAACCCCACCCAACCTCTCTCTAGCTCTGGAAAGTGAGGAGGCGGCTCCCTGGAACAGGACCCCACCATCCCCATCAATAGGAAGTGATTTGGGGTCCATCCTGGGGTTCTGAACCAAGGCCTCATGGGAAAGGACATGACCTTAGCCTCAGATTCCTCAGAAATACCCTGACTGACTATGCTCAGACCCTGACTGGACAAAAAATACCCTCAACACCCGATTAACCACATAGAAGCCCAAATCCTTGATTGGCCAAGAGATTCCTCCAGGTCCTGGATGGCTGGAGGATGCACCCTCTTCAAGGCCTGACCAGCCAGAAGACACTCTGAGCAGCCTCGATTGGCCAGGAGATGGCCCTGGGTCAAGCAGCTGGGCAGAGACCCACTTCTCCTGTGTCCCTCGTGAGAGCCGCACAGCCGGGTGGCCTAGGTCCAGGAGGGGTGGGAGAAGGTGATTCCGTACAGCTGGGCCCAGGACGAGAAGACCCTCTTCTCCGTGATGAAGCGGTGGTGGTTGCCCTTGCGGCTGTTCTCGTTCTGGATGTAGGTGACACACTCGTCTGGCCCCTTGGGCTCATAGTAGTGGTAGGGCATACGCTGCAGGTGGGGCCGCAGGCTGGGGCAGAGCAGAGGGGGCCGTAAGGGCAAGGTGGGCACTGGCTGGATCCTGCCCTTCCCAGCCCCTGACCGTCTGTCGAGCCTCAGTGGGGGAAATCCCCGCCCCCTCCCTGGGCCTCAGTTTCCCCATCTGTGAAATGGACAGAGTGTAGACTAGGTGTGTGACTCTCAAACTTTTTTTTAAAATCTATTTGGCTGCATCAGGTCTTAGTTGTGGCAAAAGAACTTATGTGGACTCTTCCCAGACCAGGGAGTGAACCCCATGTGCCCTGCATTGCAAGCCTGAATCTTTACTACTGAGCCACCAGGAAGTCCTCAAATTTTCATTTTTTTTTAATGCAGTGGAAACTTTTCCTTTTCCCCAGAGGGTGGCAATGTGGGATAGTGGTAAGGACCATGGGCTCTGAAGCCTGGCCCCCACCCCTTACTGTTCCTGGGAACTGAGGCCATTCACAAAACATCCTCCTCTTATCCCTTATGGTCACTATAAGGAGTAAATGAGATAATAAAAAGCTATGTTTGGTACACAGTCAGCACTTAGAACAGCTATCACCTACTGGGCTTTTCATATAGTAATAATAAAAATGGTTATTAATATATAAACTCTGGACTCCGGCTGAGCTTGGGATGGAAGCCCCTGAGGTAGCTCTGAAGAGCCTAGATCTCTGCAGAGCAGTTTGAATACTGTAAAATAGAGGCCCTCAAAGGCATCCCAGCCAAGGTCTTCAGGACCCCCACTCCACCCTGAGGCCAACAGCTGGATATCGCCCTGGGAGTGCTCACCTGCAGTAGTCGGGGGGCACCATGCCATAGACGTGCACGTGGTCACACAACTCCACCGCAATCACCATGGTGAACCAGCCTGTGCTCAACCACGAGTGGGACTTTTCCCTGGGGGCAGAGAAGTGTCAAGATGAGGGGGTATGCAGGTGGCGGTGGGGCGGGCAGGGAAAAGGGCCCACCCACCCAGAGTTTCCCAGAACTCCTCCCATTCTGCCCCCTCCTGGGGCTCTCCTGCCGTCAGTCACCCCCTGTCCAGCACTGCTGCGGGAGCGCGGACAAGTCTGAACAGAGATGAGGCGTGGAGGGAGGGCTCCTTTGAGGGGAAGAACAGGAACACGACATGCTGGGAATTAACTCCTGGGGAGCCTGGTCACCCTCGGGCAGGCTGGGAGTGACCCTGACCACAGAGCATGGTAGGCGGAAACACCTGCGCACATGCTAGGCACCAACTCCAAAGGAGAGACTAACCAGCAGAGGTCCTGCCAGGAGTGACAAGTGACAAGTTCAGAGCGAGGCATGGGATGAGCAACCAAGAACCTCAGGCTGTACTGCCCACCAGAACAGCCACCAGCCACACGCAGGCACATGTGAGCACTTGACACGTGGTTAAGATGTGCTGTCAGTGTAAAATACACACTTTATTCCTTAGCATGAAAAAAAGAATGTAGAATATGTCACTGATAACTTTTGACACTGTTTACTTGTTGAACTGAAAATATTTAGGGTATATTTGATTGAGGGGGGTTCTTTGAAAAGTTTAAGAAAAAATAAACTTCTACAAGATTGACAGAAAGAAAAGACACAAATTAACCAATATCAAGAATAAAAAAGGAGGATTCATCATAGGCCTTGTAGACATTAAAAGAATAATACGCTCAGAGAAATAAAAATATTTGTCCACACACACACACAAAAAAAGAATAATACGAAAACTGTAAAAAACAATGTACATGAATTTGATAATTTAGATGAAATGGGCCAATTCCTTGAAACCACAAACTGCCAAAACTCAAGATGAAATAGATAACCTGAATATCCTATAACTCTTAAAGAAATTAAAAACCTTCTGAAAAGGAACTCTCCAGGCCAAGAGTTTCACTGGCAAATTCTACCAAACATTTAAAGAAGAAATAAAACCAATTCTATATCTCTTCCAGAAAATAGAAGGAAAACATTTCCCAATTCACTTTCTGAGGCCAGCATTACTCTGATACCAAAATGAGGCAAAGACAGTACAAAATAAACTACAGACCAATATCTCTCATGAGCACAGATACAAAAATCTCAACAAAATATTGCAAATCATATCCAGCAATATATAAAAAGAATGACATCCACAACCAAGCAGAGTTTATTTCAGAAATGCAAGACTGATTCAATATATAAAAATCAATCAATATAATCCATCATTTTAATAGCCTTAAGAAAAACCATGTGATATCAATTGATGCATAAAAAACATTTGATAAATCCAATACCCAGTAATGACTAAAAAAAAAAATGCTTTTAGCAGGACTTCCCTGGAGGTCTAGTGGTTAAGACTCCATTCTCCCAAAACAAGGGGCAAAGATTTCATCCCTGGTTGGGGAACTAAGATCTCACATGCTGCATAGCATGGCTTTAAAAAAAAAATCACCAAGAACCAAAACAAACAAAAAAGTCTCAGCAAACCAGTAAGAGAAGGAAACTTCCTCAATCTGATAACTTCCTCAACCCATAGCTTCAAAAACCTACAACCAACACCATATTCAATGATGAAAGACTGAGCACTTTGCCCCTAAGACTGAGACCAAGGCAAGGATGTCCACTCTCGCCACTTCTAAAACAATTCGGTGTTATACTGAAAGCACTAGCCAGTGCAACAATGCAGGAAAAAGAAATAAAAGGCATACAGATTGGAAACAAAAAATAAAACTGTCCTTCTATGCATGTTGCTACATCATGATCATTTGCACAGAAAATCCAAAGAATCTACAAAAGTCTCCTTGAACCAATAAGTAAGTTTAGGAAGATTACTGGATATAAGGTCAACACAAAAAAATCAGTCATATTTCTATAAGCTAGCAATGAATAATGGGAAACCCATCAAAACTCTAATACTATGTACAATAGTTCTAAAAATTTTTAATATTTAGGTATAAATCAAACAAAATATGTATAGGACCTATATGTTGGACATATCAAGTTGAATAAAAGTGAACTGAAATTCACCTGTTTCTTTTTACTTTTTAAATGTGGCTACTCTAAAAATTTAAATTACCTATGTGGCTCGCATGATATTTCTTTTCTTTCTTTATTTTTTTCGCATGATATTTCTATTAGACAGCACTGGCCTAGCTTTTTTTTTTTTTGGCCTAGCTTTTCTAGAGAGATCAGTCAGAGCAGCACATACAAGGGTGATGTATCCTTAGAAGAGATATGCTGGGAATGGTCAACACTTTCCATGAGGCATGCTACGGGAGGGCTGTCCTAGAAAGATGCTAGGAGTGACGATACAACCTTAGAGCAAAGCATGCTGGGAGCCCTTGTCCTCTGGGAGCACTGCAAGCCCTCCCAGGGAGATGAAGCCAGGCAGAACATGTTGGAAATGACACAGACTAAGAGCTGGACATGAAGCGAACTCCCCTATGAAACCTGACCAAGAAAAGGTGGCAAGAAGTGACCACACCCTCAGAGCAGTGCATGCTGGGAGCAACAGGCCCTCCAGGCAGAGCACGCTGAGAGGGAGCACAGGGCTGGCCGGAGGGAGCGGGCAGGAGGTTGGTACCTGTCCCTGCCTGTCTCACTCCGGAAGAGGTCGTCAAACTGGCGCATGCGGCTGAGGGAGATGGCATAGGCCTCCATGTTGGGGAACAGCAGGCCTGCCCGCTGGATGATGCGCACCAGGCTGCCCTGGGGCTTCTGCATCTTGTTTGGGGGGCCCCAGAAGATGAACACAGTTTCAGGGGTCCGGTTGACAAACTCCTGAGGCTTCCGCAGCACATGGAATACGCTGGAATGGGCCACCACGCGGAAGGTGGTCTTGTTGCCCACATCAGCCGAATAGCCCGTAGTGGGTGCGTCGTTCATGCGGATTGTGCACTCGGCCCGCTCGATCTCAGGACCCAGCTTGGTGCCCAGCAGGTGGCTGGAGCTGGTGACAATCACACACTGGCCACACCTGGAGGGCAGCGTCTGGGGGGTTAAGGAAAGCCAACACTGTTATGACCACTCGGTGCCAGACACTGTGCTCCATACACCCAGGCCTCCAGGAGGCAGGAATTATGATGCCCATTTTAAAGACAGGGAAATTGAGCCGTATTCATTCAACATTCAACAGATATTTATAGCAAGCTTGCTAATGGCCAACTACAAGAGACAGAGCAATAAACAAGAGACCCCACTCCTGCCTTTTAAGAAATTCACGGTTGGGGAGACAGATGGTGAACAAGTAAATGATAAAATAATGCCAGGTGGTAAGTTATACGTGCTGGGAAGGAAATAAAATAGGGGCAGAGGATCAAGACTGGCAGGAGTGAGGGCTATGCTAGAAAAGTCATCTGAGGGGGCCTCTCTCAGCTAACACCTGAAGGATGAAAAGAAACCATGCAGGACAGCCATGCTGGGATGTCCCCAAGGTCACAGAGCAGAGGAGTGCAGGGTCAGGATCTGAACCTAGGTCTACATGGCCACAGAGCCCCAGCTTCACCCTCAGGCCAGCTCTTCAAAGAAGACATCCTCCCCAGTGTATCCATGACATTTCCACATCACCCACAAACAGGCCATCAACTTGTCAGTAGGAAATGGTGTGGAAGCTGCTTTGAGCCTCTGTTTTCCCATTGGTGCAGTGAACAGATTGAACCACAAGCCATCTGAAGCCTCTTTTCTGACCATGGATTTCCTGTGCACCCTTCAAGGCTAAGTTCAGGTGCCACCTTCTCCAGGCAGCCTTCCCTGAGGCCTTACTCCAAGATCCAGCAACATGTCTCATGTTTAATACCTCAACTGATGGCTTTGCCAGCTTTCCTGAGCTCTACCATCCTGGCCTCCCCGATCAGGCTAGAAACAGCTGCTGGCCAAGCTCTGTCTCATTCCCTTCTACATCACCCACCCTCAAGCAGTTCCACTTTCTCCCAGGGATTCTACCATTTTAATTTCTCTTTCAAGGATCCTTACGGTAAAGAAAGTCTCAGTTAGGTGTTAATCTGTCTCTCGTGTCACGTGTCCGTGCTCAGTCGCTCAGTTGTGTCTAACTCTTTGCTATCTTGTAGACTGCAGCGCTAGGCGCCTCTGTTCGCAGAATTCTCCAGGCAAGAATACTAGAGCAGGTTGCCATGCCCTCCCCCAGGGGAATCTTCCTGACCCAAGGTTTGAACCCCGGTCTCCTGCACTGCAGACAGATTATTTTCCACTGAGCCAATGGGAAAGCCCTTAATCTGCCTCTGTGTGCGTGTTCAGTCACTTCAGTTGTGTTCAACTCTTTGTGACCCTATGGACTGCAGCCTGCTAGGCTCCTCTCTCTATGGAATTTCCCAGGCAAGAATACCGAAGTGGGTTGCCATTTCCTCCTTCAGTGGATCTTCCCGACCCAAGGCTTGAACCCACATCTCCTGCATTGCAGGCAGATTCTTACCACTGAGCAATTGGAGAAGCCCTTAATCGGTCTCTTGTGCTTAGTCACTCAGTCGTGTCTGACTCTTTTCAATCCCATGAACTGCAGCCCACCAGGCTCCTCCGTCCATGGGGATTCTCCAGGCAAGAACACTGGAGTGGGTTGCCATGCCCTCCTCCAGGGAATCTTCCCGACCCAGGGATCAAACCCAGGTCTCCCACATTGCAGATGGATTCTTTACTGTCTGAGCCACCAGGAAGCCCAAGAATACTGGAGTGGGTAACCTATCCCTTCTCCAGGGGATCTTCCCGATCCAAGAGTGGAACTGGGGTCTCTTGCATTGCAGGTGGATTCTTACCAGCCGAGCTACCAGGGAAGCCTCTGTCTCTAAACACATGCTAATGGGCCTTTTGCCAGTGAGGATGAGCTCATGGTCCCAGGCTCTATATGCAAAGACCTCTAGAGATTTAGGAGGGTTAGTGAGGGAAAAAGAGAGAGAAAGGCAGGAGCTGGGGGACCTCCTTCTGGAAGGTGGCATCCATGCTTGAGGCCAATAATTTTCTCCCTGACCCCAAGGAAAACACTGGGGCTCAGAGGACTACAAGGTGAACTCCGGAAATACAACGTGAGTTTCATAGTTATCTAAGACAAACAGAAGCCCCAGGAAAGACTCTGGGCCTCTCCACACAGCTGTATCCTCACCAGATATTGGGGCAATACCCAGGCTCCTCCTCACCCTTGCTGTGTGACCTTGGGCAAGTAACTTTGCCTCTCTGAGCCTCAATTTTCCCATCTCGTCAAGGGAGATAATGCTAAACTCACAGCGCTGGTATGAGGATTACTGCTGATTTAGTGGCCAGCACACAACAAGCAATTGACCATTGGCAGCCATTCTTATTATTGCTTTTGTGTTGCCAAGTACCCTAGAGTCCTGCTCCCAAATCCTATGTAGACTCCCCTGAAGAGACCGAGATCTGAAAACCAGACAGACCTTTCCAAAGGGGTTCTGATTTAGGAGATTATAGGCTATTAGCACTGAGGGTGGAACCTGGGAGAAAACTGAGGTCCAGAGGACAGGCTGCTTGTCCGAGGTCACATCACAAACAAGGGGCTGAAGGCACTGGACTCCTGGGGTCCACCCTTTTCTTTAGCAGGGATGGAGGAAGTAGAGAGAAGAGGAGGAGGAGAAGAAGAAGGTAGGAGCAGTACCGGTGGGCAGTGGGGAAGGGCAGTCTCCAGGCAGCTCCCAGGGAGTTCCCAAGAGCGGCTGCCCTACCTTGTTGCCAAGAATGGGGATGTATCCGTCAGTGAGGCTCCACTTCCTGAGGTTGACAGGCCGGCGTGTCCGGCCCTGCAGGGAGCCATAATGAAAGACCTCATTGGCACTGTTGGAGCTGTAGAGGATGAGGATGGTGATGAGGGCAAAGAGGATCACGAACACTGCTGACCGCTGCTCCTGGAGAGGGGAGAGGCCAGTGAGGGCCCAGCCATCCGGCATGGTCCTCACCACCGACCACGCCTGCTAATTCCTGTTTATTCCATCAGTTCAGGCACCACCTCCCCCAGGAAGGCCTCCTCCAACTCCCTGAGCGCTGGCTATCACAGGACCAATCCCACTGCATTCAGATCCCCCTCAATGAAACCATGAGTTCTGAGGGCTGGGACTGAGTCAGCCTTGATCCCCACCATATCTCAGCTCCCAGTGTGGAGCCCAGAAGGTTGGCTGGATCAGATTGGATGTGGGGGTCGCAAGGATCCCTCCAGCTACAGTGGGAAGGATGCTTGGAGACAGATGGGACTTTCAAACGAGAGGGTACAGGTCTTCCCCAAACAGTCAGTCTCCATAAATGTTCATCATTCATTTAACCTGAAGGGAAAGGTTGTGGTCAGAAATCAGGATGCATGGTAGTCGGTACACCAACTTGCGGCAGAAGGTAAGAGAGTGATCTCTGAAGCATCCACTGGGATTTATTGGCCCAGGGTCTGCAAGGCTAGAGGCCCTGGAGTCCTGACTCTTTGTGCTGAGCCCCTTAAGTGGTTATTGACGTACTGCTTCTCAGTTCCAAGTTTACCCTTTTTTGCTTATTCTGTGAAAATAGATCTGGACCCCTTACAAGCTTTTCCTTGCTAGCAAACTGTGTTAGTAGAGGGCACTAGAGATAGATTTCAGGAGGAAGCAAGTTTGCTGCCCAGTTCTGGGGGCTTTGAGCCTGGTTCTGGGCACTTGCTCCTCCAGGGCACATGGCTTCTCCCAGGGGTCAGCAGCTTCCTCCAGCATCCAGCCTCCGGCAGTTTTGAAGCAGAGTGCCCCTGACTCCTACTGTGACCATAGCTTCTCCAGAGCTGAGCTGATGTGGCACACTCAACCACCAGCAACACCCACAAAAATTAAGCTTCACCTTCCCGGAACAGTTCTGCATGATGCTTGAAGTGCCTCCTGGGAGTTACCTCCTGTGAACAGCCTTCCCTGTAGCCTAGCAGGTGGATTTATGACAACTTCCATGGCACAGCATCACCGTGAGCTCTCTGCCATCCACTGGGCCATAGCTCTTATCCCCTCCAGGCCAGTAAGGCCTGAGTCTCAGCTCTGACTGTGGGAGCAGCTGCTTTTTTTTCTTTTTCCTTTTTTTGGCCACATCACAAGGCTTGCAGGCTCTCAGTTCCCTGATCAGCGATCAAACCCTGTCCCCAGCAGTAAAAGTACCAATTCCTAACCACTGGACCATTAGAAAATTCCCAGTGACTGTTCCTTACGCCTGCTATTCCTGTATTCTGTAGAGTTCGAATCATTTGTTACCCCAATGCCCAATTATAGTTAACAATTCTTTACATTAAATTTGCTCTGTTCAAATTACTGTGTGGTTTCTCTTTCCAGATTGGACCCAGACACACCCACATCACCCCAATCCCAACCCCCAGGCTCTGCCAAAGCCGCAACTCAGTGGATCCTAGGAAAGGGGTATACAGAGCCAGGTACATAGTAGGTGCTCAGGAAGGCATAAATGAATGGATGATGGGGAACCCTGGCACCCTTGGAGTGATGCTCACAACATTATGTCATTTTTGACTCTGACTGCTGCCCCCTCTCCCAGCCTCCCATTCACCTTCACTCCCCTACCCCACCCCCTGCACAGAACTCCACAGTCACCTTCTCAGCTAATGCTTGACCACAGATGGACCAGTCAGGCCTAGGAGGACAGAAGTGGACCTGGGCCCAGAGAGAGGCAGGACCTTGCCCAGACCACACAGGTCAGTGGCTACAGCAAGGCTTGCACCAGGGTCTCCCACGCATCAGGAGCTTTTCAGCAGGGAAGAGAGACTGGGTGTGAGGCAGGTCCGAAGGCGACCATTTCACGAAGGGAAATTAAGAAGCTGAGATGGGGACAAGAAACAAAAGGTAACTTACTTTGTTGCTCTTCATCTCTCTCCGGCGTCTGCTGAGGGGCAGGGGCCAGTGTCCTGCAGGTGGCCCAGGTAGAGGTGTGGGGTCACACCTGCAAGCCACAGAAAGGGTTATGGTCCAGTTGGTCTTGAGCAACACCCTCCCCACTCCCGCCAGCTCTCCTACCCACCCATGACTCCAAGGCTCAGGGCTGTACTCATTTTCCAGATGAAGACACTGAGGTCGAGAAAGGGCAGGAACTGGTCAGAGGTCATATAGCCAGGTGGTGGCAGAGCCCTGCCTCTCTCCCTGCCGTGCTCTCTCCCACTCTGTGCCAAAGGCAGCTTGCAGGCCAAAGGCTGGCTTCCCTGCTGGGGGTGGGGGGTGGGCTGCTCCTCACTTAGCAGGAGCCCCATTCATACCCCTACTCTAAACCTTGCCTTATGGTCTCGAAGCCTGGGAATAAAGCAACATTCCTTGTAGGTCCCCAAACTCAACATTCACACCCTTCCAGGTCCTGCATAAACTGGCCCCTCCAACTGGAACACTCTGCACAACCCTGTTCATGCCCACTCATCCTCCCACCCGGGGTGGGCCAGGAATGTCCCCTGCATGCCACCTTCCAGCTGAGAGCTCTGATGGCACAGCTGGCCCAGGCCTCACTCCCATTCTCTGCTGTGCCTCCAGGGCCCTGGAGATGTGCAGGAGGTCCACTGAGTGATTCCATTCTTTTTTTTTTTTTTTTGAGTGATTCCATTCTTAACTTGTTTACCCTCGGTTTCAACTTTGTTCATTATTACCTAAGATCTTGACGGTTAAGGGTTCAGACTCATCTATCCAATGGCCATAATCACAGCTCCACCCTGGTGAGGGGGGAGAGGGTCTCAGGGAACCATACACATTCTGCTCCTCACTCTCCAACAGACGCCCCCCACCCCCGCCCCCATCTTCGCAGGACGCAGCTTCTCTGCAGCTTTCAATTTCCCCACCTCTCAAAAGGGAGTCAGTACCTGTGTCCAGCCACCTCCAGCAGGTTAGAGACCAGAAGGCACTAAGGGAAAGTGAGAGCGCAAAGAAAGAAACTGGGCCCAGCACCTCCCTAGCTCGGTCGAAGCTTCCCTCCAGGGGCCTCCCAGCTCCCGCCACTATCTCCGCCCCCTGACCTAGCAGCTGTTTACTCCTACACCGCTACCAGGAATAGCCAGAGTCCCAGGCCAAAGGAGGTGTCCCCACAAAGCTCCTGATTGGTTGGGTCCTAACTCCGCCCACTACCCAACCCCGCCCTCTCTCTGCAGGCGCCCCCTCCTCCCAAGCCATGTTTCAGGTTTCGCCCGCAGCCGGCCTTCAAAGCCTCCAGTCGGGACTCTCATGGGGACTCTCACCAGGTCCAGTCCCGCCGGATCCACAGATCAGGATACAGAGGTTCAACGGAAGGGAACAGCAGCTTGTTGTTAGACTCACAGCCCACTAATGCAAAAGTTATCCAGGATCCCTGGGTAGCCCCCATCTGCCCTGAGGCCTCTAGCATTCCAGCTGCTTCTCCGAGCTGAGCCACCCCTCTCACTACGCTTTCTTTCGGATCCCCCAAGCTCCAGACACCCTAGAACACTCCAGTTCCCAGACCCCCCCCCCCCACTTTCCCACCTTTGCCTGAGCAGAGCCCTCAGCCAGGACCACTGTCCCCCTGGTCAGCCCCCGTCTCAGTCCCTGCTCTGAGAAGGCCATGGTCAGTACAGCATCTCAGGCTCAACTGCAAATCCGGGTTCCCCCACTTACTGGCTGAGGGGCCTCGGGCAAGCCATGTGACCTCTCTGAGCCTCAGTTTCCTCATCTGTGAAATGGAATGATAAGAGTAGGTAACTCACAAGATTGTTAGAAGGATTCAGGCAGATGTGGCAAGGGAAGCACAGGGATTTGAAAGTGCTTGGTCGGGGCCAGCAGCTGTTAGTTTTCTGGTTATTCATTGTTTAAGGCCTGCCTCTTCAGGAGCTAGCCAAACAATTCTCCCCCACGCTGCCTCTGATGCCTTGGCCCAGCAACTTCCCTCTAATATCAATAAATGCTGAGTCCTTGCTAAGCACCACCCACTCACTGAATCTTCCTGGCAATTGTACACAGTAGGGGCTCTCATCCCTATTTCACAGATGAGGAGACTGAGGTTCACAGAGGCAAAGTGCCTTGCAGAGCTGTTCAGAATTTGCTGGGAAGTCTTATTTCCAGGCTTGTTTCCAGGCAGCAACCTGGGGATGAGCCTGACCGGATCTCTCTTAAGGATCCCCCAGGGCTGGTACTGACTAGAGGCCACTGGGTGCATGCCCAGCACCTGATTCAGCAGGGATAGCAGGCCTGCTGAGGGGCCACTTCCTCAGGCCAGGGAGGCGGCAGCCCACAGCCCTGAGCCAGGAGCGTGGACTCAGTCCTAAGGAGGCCCGGTCAGAAGGCTGAAACTGTGGGCTAAGGCTGGGGGCCACACCCTGTCCTCTGTTTGGGGGTGTCGCTTTGCCCAGCTCGAGGAGCCCCCCTACACGGTCGGGACGCCCCCACGAGTCGCGTGGGAGGAGATTCCCGGAAGAAGGGGGAGGGGGCTCCTAATTCCAAATGGGGGACGCCGAAACCGTGGGTGCACCTGGGAGGGGGCGACGAGTTCTCTACATCCCGCGTGCGCTGACCCCCCACCCCACGAACTCCAGCACTCTGGCGGGTAAGGAGCTCTAGCCTCAGCAGGGAAGAAGGGAGGCAGGACGGCGGCAGGGTCCCCGAGCTCGAATGGGGCGTCAGCGGCGGGAGGCCCCGCGAACCCCGCGACAGCCCTTGGTCGCAAGGACCGGGATCTTCAGGAGCGACTGCCAAGAGTGAGTGGGTCTAGGAGTGCCCCCGGTGGCCCCCGCATCAATCTCCATCACCAGCGGCTCCCACCCCCACCCCCACCCCCACCAGGGGTGCAGGCGGCGCCCCCTCCCGCAGCCCGCCCCCGCGCGGGGCCTGCTCACCTCCCCCGGGGAGCGCTGGCTCCCCGCGGCCCCCGAGCCCCCTCACATGGCGCCGGGAGCCGAGAGCCGGGGTCCGCGATGCTGTGGCCGCCCAGGCCCCGCCGCAGCCCCGGCCCGCCGGGTCCTAGCGCCGCCGCTCTCCTATCTCCGGCCCAGGCCTGGGAGGCGGGCGGAGCCTCGAGGGGCCACGGGTGGCTCCGCCCCGGGGCGGTGCAGACGGTGATGGGTAAGGGGCAGGCGACCCCCCGCACGGAGCACCCAGGCACCTTGCTCACGCCTCTAGGCAGCCTGTAGTGACAAGGGCAGTAACAGCTTTCCGAAGAACCTCTTCTGTGGGTCAGACCCACACCCACTTCACTTTACTGTCCCCACGGCCGGGATGGGGAAACTGAGTCACAGAGCACCCTGCCCTTGGAATCAAGTTTCTCCCTGGGCATCCCTTCCTCGAGCCCCCAGAGCCCTGCACCCAGTAATCACCCTGGGTGAACGCAGGAGTCCACCGTGCAAGTTCAGCTCTGCCAGCTGCTAGCTGTGCGGCCTTGGCACACAACTTGACGCTTCCCCTGCTTTCGAAAAATGGGGCGAACAACCTCCCGCGGTGTTGTAACGATTAAAAAACGTTACATTACTTCTTATAATTATCATGGTATTCATTACATCATTTTCTGTGATAGTGAAAAAATAAGAGGGCTGGACGCCTGGTTAAATGAACAAAGGCACAGCCCTGCTAAATGAATGATTCAGATCAATATACACCGACAGGAAGAGATGTCCAGGACGTTCACCGGGATATGTCATAAGTGAAGAAAGCAAGTGTTAAAAATGCATTTCTATAATTCTTTGGAAAATGAAGTTGGAAAATTTTGCATCCTGCTCCTAGATATATTGGAGAAGGAAATGGCAACTCACTCCAGTCTTCTTGCCTGGAGAATCCCATGGACAGAGGAGCCTAACGGGCTACAGTCCATGGGGTCACAAGAGTCAGACACGACTTAGCGACTAAACCACCACCACCCAGATATATACCCTGGAGAAGGTCTTGCAAATGCAGGTTATGAAGTTCAGAGCAGCAATGCTTGAAACCAAACTGGAAATAATTCATATAGCTATCAAGGAGAATGGAATCTTTTTACATTATGATACATTCACATGGTGAAATACTACATAGCAGGGGGAAATGACATGGATGGATCTTACAGACAGGAGGAGTGAAAAAGCCAAGTTCTGGAAGACAAATGGAACTACACGATATACTGTTTAAGTGCACAGCAGGCAGTAGGCCGCCTCTCATAGGACAGGAGATAGCTTTGCCTATCAGAGTGATTAAAGTTTTAAAAGTAAAAATCAAGAACACAGCAGTTTTGTGTGTTGGGAGATGGGTGTGGGAGAAGGGGAAAAAGGCAGGGGTGTGCAAGTTATAGTATCAAAGGTCTGGTCTTTAAGTGGGATATGAATTCAAGAAGTTCATTGTATTGTTTTATTATTCACAAGTGTAACTCATGCCGTCATTCGAGTGTACTTTAAAAGGTGAAAAAAAAAGAATATAAATGAAAATAAAGAGATGTTTTTGTCTATCACAGTGATTGAAGGGTCAGTAGTGGTTATTTCTGGAATGATAAGATTATGGGCTGCTGTCTTCTTTTGACTTCACTGTATTTTCCAAATTTTTTAAGATAATGGTCACATAATGTTTTTTATATTTTAAAATTTATTTTTAATATAAAAAATGAACTGCATATACAGCATGATTCACTTTTTTAATCCAATTATCTATGCACACGTAAGTGCACACAAGCTGCTTCGGGAAGAATCCATGAAGGGACTATAGGCAGTAGTTTCCCCTGGAGAGTGGATGTGGGGAGAGTGGATTGGGTGCTATTTTCACCTTTTGCTTTATAAACTTCCAAGTGGTCTGCGTTCGACTAATTTAGGACATTGATACCACTTTGTTTTTAATTAAAACAAGTTAGTGGGCCCCCAAGGTCCAGCCCCCAGGCTGTAGACACTGCCCTCCAGGCACTGGGGGCAGTTCAAATGGCCGTGGGGGCAGTTCAAATGGCCGTGGGCGCAGGCAAGGCTTCCCGCCCCTCTGGTGTCCTGCTCCATCCACTTCCTGAGCCTTGGCCCCAGCCTCACCCCAGCCCTCCTCCGCGCCTGCCCTGCCCTGCTGGCCACAGGACAGGAAACCATGGAGCAGAGAGCAGGGCACCTGACGAGCATGACTGCTGGGAGCTCACAGAAGGGGAATCTCCTGCTTGAGGTCACAGGCAGGTTAGAGGCCAGGGGTGGAGGCATCCGGTCCCCAGTCCTTCTCCCAGCCCCTGACGATGACCTGGACTCTGGAAATAAAAGGGTGCTGCAGCCCAGCTCCAGGACCAAATCCGGGGCTGGAGCTCCCCCGTCAGGCCTGCTGTGTCCCTGGGACCAGGCTTACTCCAGGAGGCTCTGCTCTAGGGCTAGCTTCCCTTTCCAGAGCCCCCAAGAAGAGTAACAACCACTTCAATAATAACAACAAGGACACGGAAGCCTACACAGTTTCCTGTGGGTCAGGGGTTTCTCCTGTGCTATTAATAACAAGCACTATGCGAACATACCTCGCTGAATCCTTAGCACAGTCTATAACGTGGAGACTGCTGTTACTCCCGCTTCCCAGAGGGAGAAAGTGAGGCTCAGAGAGTACACAGGTGTTTCAGCTTGGATTGCCCCAGGCCTGTACGCTAAACAGTCACAAGCCTTTCTGCCTACAAGTGTTTCCTAGGTGGCTCAGTGGTAAAGAATTAGCCTGTAATGAAGGAGATGCAGATTTGATCCCTGGGTCAGGAAGAAAGATCCCTTGGCAAAGGAAATAGCAACCCACTGCAGTATTCTCGCCTGGGAAATCCCACGGACAGAGGAGACTGGCAGGCTGCAGTCCATGGGTTGCAAAGAGTTGGACACGACTGAGTGAGCATTTCTGCCACCGAAGCCCTAAGCCTGCCCCACACACATGCCAGGACCTTCGTCTGAGAAGCTGTGGCCAGTTCTGGTGCTACTCCCCGACCCTGCCCACAGCTGGGCAGCCCATGCCCTCTGGAGTCGTCCCCCTGCCCCCACCGCAGTCTGAGGGCAGTGGCCTCTGCTTCAGCCCTTCCTGCCCCAGGGTGGTGGTCCCTCAGGCCCTTCACACCCCTTAGCAATCTTTGCACTGTTAGGATTTTTTTCCCCACCATGGGATACTGGAAAAAGCCTTCACAGGTCTCTGGGTGGTGGGTCTGGAACTAAAAAGTCCCTGGTCATTTGCAGACAGAGGCTGGAGCCATCAGACTGGTCCAGGTGACACTGGACTTGAGTACCCACCAGTACCTAGAAGAACCCAGGTTCCTTTCCTCACCTGGGCTAAATGTGTGAGTGTGCGTTCCTGCCTGGCCCCAAGTTCTTTCTGAGAAGAGGCTACGTGAGATATCTCCAGGCTATGAGACTCACCCAGCTTCCCTTGGTTTCTAGGAGGAAGCAGTGGGTCCCCAGCAGGCCCACAGAGGAGACAAAACAGCCTGGGTGTGACAGAAAACAGGGGCCCAGAGAGAGGCTGCCCACATGACCCCCACTATATTCCTCAGGCTCCCACTTCCCCCGACTCACCTCCGGGAAGCTGGAGGAACTGCAGTGGCAGAGAAGGGGGTCCAGAGAACGTCAGTAGGCCCAGATCCAATCTCCAGACATCTGGAGTGGCTGGTGGATCGCAGCTGCCAGGTTACCACTCCAGAAAGACATTTAGGTCAACAAAGCAATAAACCTCCAACCCACCCAAGGGTAGGGCCAAGATAGAGGTGACTCTGTACACTGGACACCAAGGGTTGGGCCTGCGTTTCCCGAGTAATGGAACAGGAGTGGGAGGCAACCTCCGGGGATAGGCTGGAGTCGTAATCCAATCAAACCGAGCAGACCCTGGGCCTGGGAGACCGAGGGTGATGCCATGAGCAGACACAGCTGATGGTGGTGGGAGGTCTTCCTGCCCATCCCTCACCACCAGGGCAGGCAGGGCTGGGTGAGCAAAGGAGCCCCTGCTGAAAATGATGGCGCCCCACTTCCTGGGTGCCATCTCTCTCCCGTGAGTTGTACCACTACTCCCTGTGCCTTTTACAGGTGAAGAAACTGAGGCCACGAGGGAGGCGCTAACTTACCAGGGCCCTGCAGCAGGAAGCAGAGCCAGAATGAAGCTAGGTCTGACTCAAGAGTCCTGTCTCTGAGCCTGGAAATTCCCCCACCAACCAACCCCCGCCCCCGCCCTGCCACCAGCCACGAGGTCACATTGCCCCTTACCTCTACCCAACACCAGCTTAGAAACACTCACCACCGCCAGGCCAGCAGCTGTGGCTTGGCCGCCAGCCCGCTGCCTCCCACAGCATGGCTCCCTGCCTCCCCAGCTCAGGGCTCTCCTCCCACACCTGCAGACTTCTGGGGCCACCGGGCACTGGGTAAGCAGAGGCAGGGCACAAAAGGCCTGTGGGCCAAATGCCAGGTCTCAGACTCTCCTGACAAGGTTGGGCATGGGAGGGGAACATTCCGGGTCACTTGGACTCCCTAGCACAAACGGCTACACGTGATTGATAGGTCCAGTGCCAAATGAAAAGGTGTAGCCCCTTGTTAATTAAAAAAAAAAAAGTGTCAAGTGGAAACTGCAGAACATTAAGCTAAGCCTGGTGCCTGAGGAAACTGCACAGGTCACCCGTCAATGAACTGGCTGAGTCCCAGAGCTGCAAGTAGAACCCAAGGACTCCATCCCAGCTGAGATCTTGGGGTCCTGGCCCACCATTAGTCTCCTAGTCTCCAGAAATGGGGAAAAGGGAGGAAGTTAGGAAGAAGGGAGGGGGAGTGAAGCCCTTTCCAACCACCTGATACAGGGGGCCCAGACACTCAGCTGCAGCTCTCAGACCTGGGATTGCATCCTGGCTCAACCCAGTGGCTTCATGTCATTTGTGAACTGGGTTAACTCTAACCCCACCCCATGGACAGTGGCTGCACACCGTCCATCCCCTGTCCGATGGTGGGTCTGCTTTTCCACTTTACCGGTGACTGAACTGCTACTCAGAAAAGGAAAGCCCCGGGCCTGCCCCCCTCTTTCCTTTCTGATAGTGTAACGAACTCCAGAGTTAACTGGGAATTTAACTGGCCAGGCCCTCAGAATCTGACCCTGAACCAGGAAGGGAACATGATGTGGGGGAATTTCCTCCCACCCTGACTGCTCTCCCAGTGCAGGGTGGGAATCCCACGGAAGCCTCTGATCTGGGGCGTCTCCTGGGCTATGTGCTGCCATGGGGCCACACACCCTCAGCTGGTGGGGAAGAAGATAGGCTCTCGAGGAAGAAACAGGCAGGGAGATTAGACAGCCAGAAGGCCAGCTGGCTGGAGGTCTCCCCTCAAGGCAACAAGTCATGCGCTTGTGGTGAGCAGAGAAGCTCCAGTCCCCACCCTCAGACACATGACAATAGCCAGGACAGGCTTCCAGAAAACACATTTACCCGTACACTCCAGAGGTGGCCCTGGCAGTCACAGTTCAAAGGCTCCCCCCCTCACCCAATGAACCCCAAGCTCGAGGCTGCCCCACCGAGGGCAACCAGCCTGGGAAGTGTGGCACCAAAGGCAGGTGGAGAGGGAGTGCAGAGAGGAAGGACCAGGGCTGGTGCTCGGTCGAAATTCATAGTGCTGGTGACTGGGGGCCACCAGCCCCCAGGGCAAAGGTCACTGGACAGACTCAGAGGTGGGAAGAACTTGAAAACAACTCAGACTGCTCAGGGAGCAGGGGTGGGGAGGAGGCTGCCAAGGTCACCAGAGGCCTCTTCCTCTCTCCCCAAGTCTAGAAGCCTGAGATGGCTCCACGTATCCCCAAGGGTATGGCTGGAAGGGAACTCAGGTCCGCTCGGCACATGGCAGGAGACAGGATCCATAAATTAAGTGTTTTTGGCGGAGTGTGGCTGCAACAGAGGCCTGGTGATGGCGCTGTGGCGATGGGGCCACTGCATCCTCCAGGATGGATGGGCGAAGACGATGGGCCTCTTCTTGGCCCAGCGAGAGAACACAGCCTTCTCGGTGATGAAGCGGTGGGCGCTGCGGGGCGCCCGCTCATGCGCCAGGTACATTTGACACTCATCCAGCCGGCCCTTCTCAAAGTAGTGGTAAGGCACCGAGGGGTGATGCTCCTCCCTGTGGGTGGGGAAGAGGGACAGGTGTGAGGCACCCCAACTCTCCCGCCTCCCGCCAGACCCTGCCACCTGCCGGGACCATCCTTCACCCAGCCCTACGGACCACAGAGTCCCACAGGCCTGGTCCCAAGGGTAGCCAAGATAAATAAAGGAGGAACAGGGCAGCCCCTGAGGATTCCAAAGGCTGAGGGTTCAAGCCCTGGCTGTACCTCTTGCGAGCTGGCTGACTCTAGGCCAAGACAAGCGCCCTGAGCATCAATAACCCATCTGTAAAATGGGCATGGTGACATCTACCTTCTTGACTGAAAGTGAAAGTGAAGTGGCTCAGTCATGTCCGACTCTTTGTGACCCCATGGACGGCAGCCTACCAGGCTCCTCCATCCATGGAAAGTTCCAGGCAAGAGTACTGGAGTGGGCTGCCATTTCCTTCTCCAGGGGATCGTCCCGACCCAGTGATCAAACCTGGGTCGTCCCACATTGCAGGCAGACTTTACCACCTAAGCCACTAGGGAAGCTAAAACCACAGGTCAAAAAATGCAAAGTGCCTGGTGCCGGGCTCATGGTTGAGGGACCCCTGGTTCCCCGTAGCATGGAACTGCCAGACCTGCACATCCACCTACTCACGGGCAGTCTGGCCAGGCATCCTGGTAGAGAGGGGCTACTTTCATCTTGCCCCCGTGCTCAGCGAACAAGTTCCCCCAAAAAACAGAGGGTGAAAACGCGGGGCCCCTTCAGTTCAGTGATGGGAGCTATGACAGTGTTGAACTAGAACAACATCACAAGTCAAAGCTTGGGCGTAACAGCTGATGATGGACACGCACAGCAGCCCTGAGGCTGGGGTAAGGACTTGGGGAGATCATTCTCTCGCTAAACCTTTCCACAAGCTTCTGAGGACAGTGTGGTCATTTGCTCTCTGTGACCTGAGAAAACAGTTGCCATGGGAGGTGGCAGCCGGGCCCAAGACCACTCGGGCAGAGCGGAGGTTGGAACCCAGCCTGTTCTACAGGTTGGGCTCCTTCCCACTGGGTACCAGCCCAAGGGCTGTGGGTGCCTTGGCTGCTCACGCGGAAGCCCACATACCCTCAGCGTAGGACCCAAACACGGTGTCCCCCCGCCTGGCTCCTGGCTGACCTGACCTGCAGTAGCTGTCGCTGACCATCCCGTAGACCACGATCTCCTCACACAGCTCCAGGGCGAGGATCATGGTGAACCAGCCGGTACTGAGGAAGGACCCGGACTGCCTCCTGGCCGGGGAAGGGACGCACAGTCAGCTGGCCACGTCCGCCAGCTCAACTTGGAAGCAAGGTGGCCCCAGCTCAGCTGGCTCACCGCACAGCACTGGTTCCCCTCCGAGTCAAGGGCTTCTCACCTTGACCCCCACAGAGAGGCTCTGGGGGACACTGGGGAGCTGGAAGATCTGGCCCAAGGCCAGCAGTGGGCAAGAGGTGGGCGTGGGTGCCAACCCATGTCTGTTCATCTTCTACCCATCCACACAGGACTTGAGCAAACCACGCCCCCAACAATGATGATGCATCAGCCCTGGTCACACCCTCTCCGCATCACAGGGACCAAGCTTGCAGAGACAGCAGAAAGCAGCAGAAACACAGCCACTGAAAGTGGGGAAGAGGGTTGTCGAGAGTCAAGCAGTCTTCAACTTGAATCCTGAATCTGCTCCGGGGCATCCGGTTTGCTTATGAACCTCTCTGAGCCTCAGTGACCCATGGGTGACATGGGGATAACTATAGGTGGTAATGGAGAGGGAACACTGTCAGTCCAGCTCCTCCCACAAGCCCCAACCGCCAACTCAGAGCAAGGGAGCCTAGAGTTGGACCTGGCCTCGCCACTCTCAAAGCACCAGTACTGACTACTTTCCCAGCAGATGGCCATTCATCTTGGGCTCTACTGAAGGGCTGTGGGGTGGTTCAGCCATTCAAACTAAACACCTCCCAAGCCCTGAGCTGGCCATGAAGCAGCCCCACCCAGCATTAACATTCTCAAGGAAGGGGGCAGCTGGAAGAGACCTGCTGGGAAGACAAGGAAACAAAAGAATGGGATGACTGATGTCAGGTAGGAAGTGTTCCTTCAGACGGGGGCAAGGAGAAATGCCATCCATACTGAACACAAGGGAGGATCTGGGGGTAGGAGTGGCAGGTGCAAAAGGCCTGCAGGTGAGAGCAGTGTGGACGTCCACGGCCAGTGTGGCTGGAGCAGGGCAAGCGATGGACGATGAGGCCACAGAAGCAGGCAGGGGCAGACCATGCAATGGCACGAAGGCCAGGGGAGGGGAGAAGGTGGGAGTCTGAACTTTATTTTCCGTGTGATGCGAAGCTGCTGTAGGGTGAGGCCAGGTGACTGGTGGGATGAACTCACTGGGGCACTTAGAGATCAGACTGCAGGGCCTGCTGCAAGGGCAGGGGAGTGTGGGGACTTCCCTGTGGTCCAGTGGCTAAGTCTGCGCTCTCAGTGCAGAGGACCCAGGTTCGATCCCTGGTCAGGAAACTAGACCCCACATTCTGCGGCTAAGAGTTTGCATGCCACAACTAAAGATCCAACATGCCACAGCAAAGATCCCATGTGCTGCAACTAAGACCAGGCACAGTCAAATAACTAAAAATATCACCAAAAACAGAGAGGAGGATGGTGGCTTAGGTCAAGGAGGTACCCGCGGGCAAGGAAGGAGAGTCGCAAGCCCATCCTACGTGACAGGTGATGAAACAAGGGGAGTCGAGGGCAAAGTCAAGTGTTTGACTAAAAAACTGGAGGCTGGTGGCTGTATTTTCTGAGCTGGGGAGGTGGGGGAGAAGCCAGTGTGCAGAGGAGGAAGCCATAACAGTTCAAGTGCTCCTCTGGGTGTTGGATAAAATGAGATCTTGAAGGCAAGAGTACTTAGCTCAGTACCTGGTGCACAAAAAGGGCTGTTAGAACTGCCACTGTTACTTTCAATTCTGGAAGGGACATCAGAAACCAATTCAGGTCTCAGAGCATCCCCTCCAAACAGAAGAGCTCCCTGCCATGGCCCCACACTAGTCACCACCACCACCACCACCAACCCCCCCGCCACCCTGCCCCGCCACGGTGTATACTGGTGAGGCCGAACGCCCTTCACTGCCACGTGGAATATCTATGTTGTCATTCAATGACAACAGTCTCTGATTCCTGTCCCCATCAGAGGGCAGGACCACGTCTGCCTCTATCACTGCTGAGCCCCAGTGCCAGACAGAGCAGACCCTCGATGGACCAGAGGCTTCTGGAGAAGGCAGGCCCCCAGCTGCCAGGGAGACCCCCAGCAGGCCAGCTCCCCGGCTCCCGCTCACCGGTTCTTGCCCGTCTCGTCCTGGAAGACCTGGTCGCAGTAGGCCATCATTCGCTCGGTGAACGTGTACACCTGCAGGCCAGGGTACATCCTGGTGAGCTGCAGCAGCGCACGGTAGGTGCGGCCGCCCAGCGCCCGGTCCATGTGCTTCCCCTGGCCCCACACCACATAGAGCGTGTCGCGGGCCTGCTGGAAGTAGTGGGAGTAGTTTCGCAGCAGCAGAGGCACGCTCGTGTGGGAGATGACCCGCAGGGTGCTCCGCTGGCCCACGTCTGCCTCGAAGCCCAAGGTGGGCGCCTGGTTCATGCGCAGGACACATTCAGCACCGTCGATCTCGGCGCCCAGGCCCGAGCCCAGCATCTGGCCTGAGCTGGACACCACGGCGCAGCTGCGGCACGGCTCTCGGACCAGCGGCTGCGGGGGGAGGTAGAGAGAAAGAAAGGAAGTCCTGGGCATGTAGCTTCCACCCCGCCTTCTCCTCCACCCAGGAATACCCCTGACCACCTGTATCAGCTCCAAGGACTTCATCAACCCATTTTGCAGATGAGGAAACAGAAGCCAGGCAGTTGGTATGACTTTCTAAAGGTCATACCAGTGACAAGTGGCAGAGCTAAGATTCATTATTCAAGGTCCTGTGCTTCCCCATCAGCTACATTTCTGGCCCTGGTTTCTGTTGCTAAGGCCCTATGAGGCCTTACATTGCACTTTCTTGTTAGGATTATATAAGTTAATATTTATAAAGCACTTAGAGCAGTTCCTGGCACAGACTAGGTGTCAGTTATATATTTGTTAGGTAAATATGAACCTCAACTCTTCAGAATTACTTTTAGGTCACTTCCTCCTCTGCCCAAGTCCCATTTTCCTTGTCCCAGTTTATAAGTAAAAGCCCATGACAACATTGGGAACCTCTGGTTCTGTGCCTGAATCCTGGCTCTGCCCCATCTTGGCTGTGTGTGCTTAAGGCAAGTTACTTTGTCTCTCTGAGCCTCCATTTCCTCATTTATAAAAAGGGGATGAAAATAGCATCTACTTGATCAGGTTGTAAGGATTCAATTAAAAATGCCTAGAGAGTGATCAACACAGCCTGAGGGCACAGTAAGCTGCCCTCCCACCACCTCATTATCTCATAAGAGGCAGAAGCTGATCCAACAAGTCTGCAAACCGTCACTGGAGGTCAGGGCTCCCAGAAAGAGCTGCCTACCCCAGGCCTCCATGCCCTCTTTGGGAACACAGGTTGATGGAGGCCTATAAAGGATATGGAAACAATCTAGTTGATAAAAGACACACAGTTGTAGCCCACTCAGGGACAGTTTATGTCTGACACTGTGTTGATTTAAGGACTCGTAGCCCCATTTTCCATGCCCTGGCAATAAAGAACAAGACTTCCTTATTCCGCCCTCAGTTTGAGTCTGAGCTGACAAATGTGGTCTGTTCAGATCCAAGATCACCATCAGCCCCAGAAGGTGTTCTGCTTGTCCTGTTCTGCAGGGTCTTTAAGACAATGAATCCTATACAGAAATCAGCCCTTTTGACATTCGAAGATTTTCTGCTCTGTTAACAAACTCAGAGGATCTGGCCCTCCTGGGGCCACATCCTCATGAGCTCTGAGCATCTGAAATGAACACCAGCCGTGACCATGGAAGCTGGGACGGCGTCTACCCAGCCCACCTTGCCGCTTGTCCCTCTTGGCCAAACCTGGCGGCACTTGAGTTTGTCCCTCCCAACTCAGCTGTTTCTGCATCTTGATCAAAGATTTATACAGCACCCATTCTAAACACTGTCCATGAATCACAGAGTTGGACCTGCAGAGCAACCCTACTGAGGTAGGAACCACAATGATTGCCTTTTACAGATGAGGCAACTGTGACTCAGAGGGATGAAGACCTGAAACAGATCTCCAGCGCAAGGTCCCTGAGCCGTCCTCCCTCTGACCAACACTTGGAGAGCTGGCAGACTCCGAGCTCAGACCCTCCTGCACCAGGTGTCGTTGGGAGATGCCTTTGAGAAACCTACCAGCTGGGGCTGCTGAAATCAGGGTGAGCGGTGTAAAGCATTCTGAACCTCGCCTGGCAGAACAAGCGTGGGGAGGTGCACGCCACGGGGCAGGGGCCTCAGCTGCCTTGTCACCCTGGGCTCCACTGTCCCTGTCTCCTGTAGAGGGACAGCTCTGGGGCAGATCTGTATCCCCAGCAGGTATCAACACAAGGCAGAGCACATCGAAGGCACCAAATACACACTTGCTAAACAGATGGGTTGTTCGTGGACAGTTATTAATAAATCTAAAGCTGCATGTACCACCATGATGTGATGCTATCTGGCTCCCAGGCTGGACTGGGAGTTCCAGGTGGCCACCCTGCCTAACTCATCTTTTTTATCCCCAGTGCCCAGCTGAGAGCCGTCAGGCAATATTCGTTGAATTAAAAAAAAAAAAGACATTTAGGAATACCCTGGTGGTCCAGTGGTTACGACTCAGCACTTTCACTGTTATGGCCTGGATTCAAGCCCTAATTGGGGAACTAAGATCCCGCAAGCCACGCAGTGCAGCCACAATTGGAAAAAAAAAAAAATTTCCTCCTAGAATTTGAAGCTCAGAGAGGTAAAGGGTCAGCTTGAGCAGAGGAGCCAAGTCCAGGATCCAGGCTGGCCTGACGTGAGCCCAGTTCTCACAGTCCCCAGAGAGTTGGGGAGAACCCTGGCAAGCTTGGCTGGGCCTACACCCCACCCCTCGACACACTGCCCGGCGAACTCACCTTCCCATCTGGCACACTGCTGTAGCCACTGAAGTGCAGAGGCCCCGGCACGGTGGGCCTGGAGCTGATAGAGAGGTGGGGGTCCAGGCAGGCGGCCGGGCAGAAGGGCAGGCAGGCCCAGCAGCACAGCAGGATGTAGACAGCCGAGAAGCCCGCAGAGCAGAGGACGATGAGCAGGAGCCGACCCTGGGGGAGACAGCGGTCATGGGGTGCGAGCTGGGGGGCATTGTCGCTGGAGCTCCTAGAAGCTGCCGCTGGGGTCCCCAGCCTCATGGGTCCAAACCACAGTTCAGTAGTTCCCAGACATCAGCAGAGGCCACAGTCTCTGTCAGCCAGGCCTGCCTCTGGGCTTGGTTCGGAGCACATACATGACTGAGATAAGCCCTATTATCCCAATATTCTAGATAAGGAAACCAATTTGGGGTAAAATGGGTAGGCAACTCAAGGTCACACAGTAAGAAAGCAGCAGGGTGGGGTCTCCAAACCAGAAACCGTCCTCTTAACCAGAAAGCTGAGGTGCCCTGTGCAGCCTTGGGCATGACTGTCTACCTCTCTGGGCCTGCTTCCTCTGTGAAACTGATACTACCCACAGTGGGAACTCACTCTGAGGACAGTGGCCAAAGGGCTACCGTAAAGTGCTGTGCATATGAAGACATGAGAGTGGCCCAGCAGAAGGGCCACCAGTTCCCTTCAGATCCCGGTTTGAGGCTGTCCCGTACACCCAGAGCCCGTCCCCTCCCCCAGCTGACTCCATGGTTGCCCTCCTCCCCCAGCTGATGATCATGACCTGGGTCAGCAGACCGTGTGAGTAAAGAGACAGTACAAGGGGATACAGGGAAGCGTCACTCAAGGGGATACAGGGAAGCATCACTCAGCAAGCGGTTTCAAGAACTGAGAGCTGCTGCCCTAAGGCTCCCTCCTCCAGAAACCACGTCCCCAGAGGCCACGTGAACCAGGAAGCCCTCCTGGCCCCCTGCCCGGCTGGCAGATGTAGTGAATACCTCCACTGAGCCTTCAAGGAGGGGCCGCCTGGTGGGGGGACACAACCCTGGCCTGCCATTGTGTGCTGGGCCAACTTGGTCACCACCTGTGTCTCTCTGGGCTCTAACCGGTCTCCCAGCCTGCCCAAGACCCAGGTCCCTCGGCCTCAGAAACCATCTGGCAAGCTGGCTGGGGCTCTCTGAAAATCAGAGGTGAAAAAGTAGCCCCCACCAGTCCCCTCCTTGGGCATATCCTGCTAGAGGCCCTCCCTCTTCTGCCCACAAGCCACTTCAGCTCCTAAAAATAAATCTCTGTGAGACCAGCTGTGCGCAGGAGGGGGTTCAGCCCCTGAGGCCTCAAGCTGTGCTTGGCACCTGGTTTCCTGCCCGCAAGGACCCAGAGACCCTGATTCAGGCAGCCACGGCTGACTTCCCACAACACTCAAGGCTCTCACCAGGGGCTCCTGATTAAAGTCAAGATTCCGCTAAACTGAACTTTCACGACATACCCTGCTCCCAGGTAGATGCCTCACCGGGGTGACCCCTGGATGCTCACAGGAGGCAGTACTATTATCTCCATTATACACAGAAGGAGGAGCAAGGCACTGAAACCAGAGAGGGAATGCCACTTGCCTGGGGCCACACAGCCTGGCAGATCAGGGCTGGACTTTGAGGCCAGTCTGCTGGTCTCCTTCAGCTCAGGAGCAGTGGAATCATAAGTGACAGTCAGCCCTGGGGTGGGGAGTCAGGGGCGGGGGGGGTGAGGCTACTGGGCCGGAAGCCACCTCCCCTGTGAGCCTTCCTCCTTCGGCCACTTACCGGAGCCTTCATGCTGACACTGCCGCTCAGCGGCCCGGTGGCTGCTGCCTCCAGGGATCAGGCTGGGAAGGGATCGGAGGAGCCAGGGACCTGCCAAGACCCAGACACTCAGAGCTGGGTCCCAGGCCTCCAAGGGATCTGCCCAGGGATACTGAGGCAGGGGAGGGTACAGGCCTGGGTCAGGGCAGACAGCTCCTGGGAATCACATGCCCTCAAGTCCCCAAACACGGGGCAAACACCGTCCCCTAAAGGAGCTGAAACCTCCCGCCAACCCAGTCCCCACTGCACAGATGGGGAAGGAGAGAGGTAGACAAGAGAAGCCCAGGGCTCAAGGCCACCCCATCCAGTCTGGGTCAGATAAGCACCAGGAGCCTGGAGCCTTGACTCCCATCTCCGCCTAACTCACTAACAGAGAGGCCTGGGGCTGGACGGGACAAGGGCTCTCCACCCCACCGCCAGACCCCACCGACCCTCACCAGCTCGGGCGCTAACCTGGAGGGCAGGAGGGGATGCGCCGGCTGCTCCCCATCCGTTGCTCGGAGCTCCATGGCCCGCGGGCGGGACGGACGGGGCAGGAAGCCAGAGCCCCGAGGCTGAGGCGTCGCCGTCACCGTCGCCTCAGCTTCTGGAGGCTGGAAACTGATTGTGCGCCGCCGCCGGCGGGGGCGGGGTTTGCTAGGACGGTGGGGAGGAGACAGGCGCCGGGCGCGGGGCTGAGCGGCGGGGGGCGGGGGCGGGGCCTACGAGCGCGCCTCGGGTGGGGCGTGCGCGGTGGGCGTGGGCGGGGGCGGCGAGGCCGCAGGGTCTGGGGACCCGGCATCAGCAGCTGGGGGTGGAGTCTCAGCTCCGGCATCTCTTCCCTTCCGCCTTTCAGCGCATCTCCTAAGCTCCTCCGGGTGGTGGGGTGGGCGGCCCCCTAGAGGAAAGACCTAGAGGGTGCCTTGTGTGCCTTGTCGCCCTCTTGTGGTCCGGACTGGAATTTCTCCATTTCTGAAGTTTGGGTGTGGGGAGCTTCAGGGACAATTAAGTGGGGTTTTAGGCTGAGGCTGCTCCAGATTTCAAACTTGGTACGGTTGCCGGATTTCGCCAAGTGAAGTACCGGATGCCCACTTATATTGGAATTTGAGAAAAGAAAGATAGCGCTAAGTCGCATCCGACTCTTGCAACCCTGTGGACTGTAGCCTGCCAGGCTCCTCTGTCCATGGGATTCTCCAGGCAAGAATACTGGAGTGGGTTGCCATTTCTTTCTCCAGGAGATCTTCCCGACCCAGGTATCGAACCCAAGTGTCCAGCAGTGCAGGTAGATTCTTTACCGGTTGAACTACGCAGGAAAGTAGCCACTAATTATGTTAGAAGTCTGAAAGTCTAGTGTAACTGTGTGTGTTAGTCGCTCAGTCGTGTCCAACTCTTTGCGACCCCACGAACTGTAGCCTGCCAGGCTTCTCTGTCCATGGAATTCTCCAGGCAAGAATCTTGGAGTGGATTGCCATTCCCTTCTCCAGAGGATCTTCCCGACCCAGGGATGGAACCCTGGTCTCCTGCCTCGCAGGCAGATTCTTTACCGTTTGAGCTACAGGGAAGTCCTCCAGTGTAACTGGGCGTCCTGTATTCTTTTTTTTCGGGCATCCTTACCTGGACTGCTTCAGATGAGCCTCAGTTTTTCTCCTCTGTGGAGGGGGGTTGATGATAGAACCTACCTCAAAGTGCTGGAGCATCTTGTGGCAGAAGCAGGATTTGAACTGGGCAGTCACTGCAAAGCCAGGGCTCTGACCGCCTACTTTCAGCTCCCAAATGCCCCTGTTTTGTTGCAGGGTCCAGCAGTAAGACCAGGTTAGAATCACAGGATGGAGATATACAAAACATAACCAGTATTCAATTCATGAGTCACTTGGTTTATTGTACACAATTAGCAGGTGAAGAGTTGGACTGTATAAAGGGCTGACTGCTGAAGAATTGATGCTTTCCAACTGTGGTGCTAAGGAAGGCTCTTGAGAGTCCCTTGGACTGCAAGGAGATCAAACCACTCAATCTTAAAGGAAATCAACCCTGAATATTCATTGGAAAGACTGATGCAGAAGCTGAAGCTCCCAGTACTTTGACCACCTGATGTGAAGAGCTGACTCATTGGAAAAGACCATGATGCTGGGAAAGATTGAAGGCAGGAGGAGAAGGGGAATGACAGAGGAAACAGTTGGATGGCATTACCAGCTCACTGGAAATGAGTTTCAGCAAACTCCGGGAGATGGTGAAGGACAGGGAAGCCTGGTGTGCTGCAGTCCATGGGGTCGCAAAGACTAGGACATGACTTCGTGACTGAACAACAACAAAAGCAGGCAACACAGGTTAGTCAAAGTAGGGAAAATAGAAACGGGGGTAACAAACTTGTCCAAGGAGAAGTCTGGGAAGATCCCATCTCAGCACCAGTGAGCAGCAGGTTTTGGTCGAGCTGAACCAGTCTCATGACAGACATGATAGGAAGTCACCTTCTGCTCCAACAGAGCATCCATCTGGAACAACAGCGGGGAGTCCTCCAGCAAAGAGCCTTCAAGTTGCTCAGCACTGTGGTCTCATTTTAAGGAATCTGCCTATAGAGGGTAAGAGTTATACCCCCAAGGAGTCTTAGTCTTTATCAGTCTTGGTGCCAATAGAGTCTTTCTGAGAAACCAAACTAATTCCTTATCTAAAGCAATGCTTTTTTTTTTTTTTTTTGACCACACTAAATGGTATGTGGGATCTTAGTTCCCCCACCAGGGATCAAACCTGCACCCTCTTCAGGGAAAGCATAGAATCTTAACCGCTGGACCTCCAAGAAAGTCCCTAAAGCAACAATGTTAACTTATCACATTCAGACACTCACAGTCCTGTAATGGACAGTTCACAATAACTAATATGGAAGTTCACATTGGCCACAGTGACTCCATCTTGAATTACTAAATTTAAATCCTATGAGTTTCACGCAAGATGAGGCGGAAGCATAGAAACAGAAGAAGTCACACTGTAAAAGCCTGGGCTCCTGCTCTGGTCCTATTTCAAACTCTCTTTTCCTATTTCTAAGAGGTTCTGATGTGGATACAATAGCAAGGTATCTGTGTTGGGAACCTGCACCCAGTTCAGCAAATTTCCGGGGCTATCCACTCCATGTGCGTGCATGCTAAGTCACTTCAGTCATGTCTGATTCTTTGCGACCCCAGTGACTGTAGCCCACCAGGCTCCTCTGTCCATGAGAGATTCTCCAGGCAAGGATATGGAATGGGTTGCCATGCTCTCCTCCAGGGGATCTTCCCAACGCAGTGATTGAACCCGCATCTCCTGCATTGGCAGGTGGGGTTTTTGTTTTTACCACTAGCACTATCTGAGAAGCCCACATGCAAAGCCAAATTCCTCGAAGCCGGTGATCAGATCTCCGTGCTGCTACTCATCCTATTGGAAGGGCTGATGTTGAAGCAGCCCTGCACCCAGCGCATCCTTTGAGCACAAGCCTTCCTTGTGTTGCCTCACCCCAACCTGGGCACACCTAAGTTCAGTCTCTCTCCGTGGCCCCAACTCCAAGGGGAAGAAAATGGTGAGATGTTCCCTATGGATTCACTGATCACCCACAATGGCTGGTGAAGTGATGATTCCTTCCGCAGAGAGGCATATCCTGCCTTGCTAAGACTGCATGGGGACAGGGACACATACAACGGTCCCAAGCTCCCAGAGCAGAGGAGGATCGTACATCCACAGGGGAACTGACACCAGCAAGTCCTGCAGCCTCAGATGAAGCTCTTCAGTTTGACCCTACAAAAGTCCTCTCTCCTCATCCTGATCTGTGAGGCCCTGCATGCTCTGAACTCCTGCCTCCTTCCCAATCGCTGTCCACCCACCCTGACTGCCATTTCAATCTCCAATTGCATTGAACTTGTTCCTACCTCAGGACCTTTGCACTTGCTGTATCCTCAACCTGGACTTCTGTATTCACATGGTCAGCTCTTTCTAGTCATTCAGCTCAAATATCACCTCCTTAGAAGGCCCTTGTCAACCCCTCTATCTGACACCACACCCCCATTCCTCTTATCCCAGCTTGATTTATTTTTTTCAAGGGACTTGTCACACTCTGAAATCATACTGTGCATTGACTCATTGTCTTGTTTACGGTCCACCTGCCCACTAGCCTCTATTCTCTGTGTGGGCAGTCAGGCCAGTCATGTCCTTAGAGCATTTCCAACACCAGCATGGTGTCCAGCACACACACAGTGCTAGATAATGTGTTGCTTGAGCCAGTTAGAAAAGCCAGGAGTCCTGTGCCTCATGAGACCTTAGAGGGGCCACGTTCTTTCAGGCCCTGCTTCAGCCCATTGTCAGAGACCCAAAGTAGGTAGAGACTGAACCATCCCTCTCCATGAGCATAGGTCTCAGGCCTTGACTCAGCCCAGTCGGATCCAGACCCCAGGAGAATGTAGGGCCAAACCCCCGTTTCCTGCTGTGCTGCCCTTCCACCAGAGTTTCCACGACCCACCCACCTCCTTAGTGATGACCTTAACGCACTCCGTGTCTCAACTTCCTGCTGAGCCAGAACGAGAAGTGCTCCGTGGTTTGTGCCAGCTCAGAAAAGTTGAGTAATCACCTAGGGTCACCCAAACAGCAAGGGATGACGTCAATTAGGTGTATATTCCAGGAGCCCACGCTCCAGCCCTGCAGCCTAAGACTTCCTTTTCCTCTCCCTTCCCCCACCAGCCGTCTTTCCTTGTTTTCTCTTAGGGCCAATGCAATGGCAGCGTTGAGTCACTGAGTGAGTTTCCTAAGGTCTGGAATCATCTGGCCCCAGGGACCAGCGATTGGCCCACAAATCTCCCTCCACCACCACACTGTCACCCCACCCTCAAACTCTGACCGCAGTGAAATAATTCTTTCTCTCAAATGCCAAGCTCTCTCTTACCCCAGATCTTTGCTGTGTCCTTGGCTTGGGACACCCCCCCCAACCCCCTGCCACCACCAGAGCTGTATCTGATTCTTCTGGTCTCTGTTTAGAGGTTAGAGCCCCCCTTCCCATCAAATAACTAGATAGGGGCTCCTTCCCTAAGCGCCATGGCCCCTTGTTTCTTCACGAGGCTTTGTCACACACATGACTTTTATTACTGTTCCCCCCACACACATACTGTGAGTTCTTTGGAGGAAGAATCTCTGCATTTCGCTCCACCCCAGGTCCCCATTCCCCCGGCAGAGGGCCTGTCACATAGCAGGTGCTCAATAAATATTTAATGAGTTAAATATTTCCATTTGCAAAATTAGACCACTGAGGCACAGAGAGGTTTAGCACCTTTTCCTGGTCACACAGCCAGGCCACAGAGAAGCTCTAGAGGAAAGGCTCCCTTGGGCATGGTCAAATTGGACTAGGGTCAGAGGTAGGGCTGAAATTTCCTGGAGGAGGGAGAAGGAATGATCAGGGGCTATGCAGGCAATTTCCTTCTCTGCTCCGGTGATGTCTGTGTGTCCAGACTGACCACCAACCCCTGCTCCCATTTCACAGGTGATTAAAGTGACTCCCAGAGGAGGGCAGAACTTACTCAAGATCAATAGTGGACCCCAATCTAATGTTTCCTAGAGCTGAAGCCCACCCCCCACCATGCCCCACTTCCTCCCACCTGTGCAGGATATAAGGGGGCCACCCCAGAGGGAGGCCAGTGGGTCCTGCTTGAGCCTGGGTTGGGGGGGCAGATATTGGGAGGCCTGGGTTCTTGGGCTGGCCTTGCCACTTACCCGTGCATGAGTCCCTTAAAGTCTTTGGGCCTCAGTTTCCCTGTCCGGACGACAAAGGGGCTGGACTTGGAGGTTTCAGCCACCCCCTTCCCCAGTGAGGACAGGATTGTGGGAGCTGATGAATAAGAATACAGCTCCTGAGTCCAAAGGCATAGTTGAGTCCTGGTTCTCGAATTTATTGCTGAATGATTTTGCTCAGTCCCTTCACCCCCTGAGCCTTCATTTCATGGTCTGTAAAAAAGAATAGTAGCTTTTCCTTTTTTTTTTTTTTTTTGAGGATTAAATAATCTCACGTTAGGGTAGTCCCTGGCACAATGCCAGGCACAGCATTCCCCAGCAAAATGAGTTCATAGTATTAGGGGATGCCGCCCTCTGGAGGCCAACCGGAGGAACTGCAGGCGAGGGGCCAGGCTGGAACCCGTGTCCCCGGCGTGGTCCCATGTGTCCAGACGGGGAGAGAGCGGCCGGTCACTCCGTGTGCGCCTCCACCCACTGGCAAAGGCGACGGGCATAGCAAGCTGGGCTGACGGTTGAGAAGGTCCGGCCTGGGTAGCGCAGCGTCTTCCACAGTTGCTCCAGCCGCTTGCGGAGCCCGTAGACCGTGGTGAGGTCTACCAGGCCTAGGAAATAGCGATGCTCCGGCCCGTCCACGATGTGTAGGGCGTTGGGGGCGTCGGGCAGCAGTCGGCGGTTCTGGGCTCCCGACTCCTCGGCGCTCTGCGCCCCTCGTATAGACCTGGGGGCCGACAGGAGGGTGAGGTAGCCGCCTCCTCTGAGGACCCCCAGTCAATGGACCCTGTCAGCCCGGGCCAGGCTGCCCCTGGGTCATCTCCACACCTCCTGTGTGCCCCGGCCTGTGATGTCAGATAAACTGGGCGGCTGAGTGAATTACAACTGACAAGCTAAAAGCTGAGCTGTGTGCTCAGGAGCTGCCGGCTAGCCACGTATGGCCCCTGAGCGCTTCAGTGTGGCCAGTCCCAACTGAGATGCATGGTTAGTGTAAAATACATACTGAAAAAGAAAAGAGAAAAAATACTGAATTTCCAAGACAGTATGAGAAAAAGAATGCAAGATATAAATGTTTACATTGATTAGATGACGAAAGGATCAAAGTTTGGATGTATGAAGTAAGGGAAATATGCTATTAAAATTATTTTTACCTATTTCTTTTTACTTTTTATTTATTTATTAAGATTTTTTAAGGACTTTATTGGATTTGTTACACTACTGCTTCTGTTTTATGTTTTGGTTTTTTGGCCCCAAGGCTTGTGGGATCTTAGTTCTCCCACCAGGTATCGAACCCGCACCCCCTGCATTAGAAGGCAGTCTTAACCACTGGACTGCCAGGGAAGTCCCTCTTTTTACTCTTTAAAATGAGGCTACTAGAAAATTTAAAACTACCTATGTGGCTAGGATTAACTTTCTACTGGTGCGCTGGTATCTAGCATTTGGGTCTACATTTAAGTACCACATCACTTTGGGTAAGTCCCATATTTGGGTGGGCTTCCCTGATGGCCCAAACAGTAAAGAATCTGCCTGCAATGCAGGAGATATGGGTTCCTGGGTGGGGAAGATCCCCTGGAGAAGGAAATGGTAACCCACTCCAGTATCCTTGCCTAGAAAATTTCATGGACAGAGGAGCCAGGTGAGCTACAGTCCATGGGGTCGCAAAAAGTCAGACATGACTGAGCATGCACACGCCACACCGTATTTAGGTATTTCCAAAACTGCTGTTTGGGGTCATCCAACCCTGAAAGTTTCAGAGTGGCAGAGTTGAAACCTTGCAGAAAAACCCAAGTTTGCAGATGGTGTGTCTTTTTGCCTCAAATTGTATTCCAAATCAGAAGATGCCTCTGGTGGGGGCCCCCAATCCAAGCCAGAGAAGGCTCAGTTCCCTAACTTTGTCCTCTTGTGATGGTGCGACTTGGAGAGTAGGGGGGTCAGGGGGTCGCTGAGGGCTTTATTCCTGCCCTGCCCAGGTCTTGGGGGGAAATAAGCCAATCAAAGAAAGCTCCCTCCCACCCCAGGCACCAACCAATCTGAACAGAGTGGTCTGGGAGCCTGGACAGAATACTGGTACTTTCTGCAGTGGCAGGGTTAACCTGGGGATGGTAGGTTCTGAATGAGAGGCTGGGAACTGAGTGGAAGTGGGGCAGTGGCCATTTACCAGCCAGCTTGGAAAATTTCAATAGAATAACAACCACTGTATGCAAACTTGGGTTTACTCTAGTTTGGATGGGCAGACTTAGGGGAATCTGTATCCCATAGCGGGCATTCCACTACCTGGTCAGGATGTGTCCACCAAGTCACAGGTTTCATAGGGAGCCATTACCTTGGGTTGTGCCCAAGACTTGCCCATTGGAAGGTCTTCCTCCAAAGGGTGGGGCTGGGGGCTGGGTGAGTGGACATCATTTTTTATTTGTCCACCCACCAAATCAATGAACTTATTTCCTTTCTTATTTTCCAAGAAGGACCTATCTTAATGCCTAAATATTTCTGAAAAGCAAAAGTGAAAGTGTTAGTAGCTCAGTTATGTCCGACTCTTTGCGACCCCATGGACTGCAGGCTACTAGGTTCCTTTGTCCATGGGATTCTCAAGGCAAGAATACTGGAGTGGGGTGCCACGCCCTTTTCCAGGGGATCTTTCCAGTCCAGGGATTGAACCCAGGTCTCCTGCACTGCAAGCAGATTCTTTACCACCGAACTGCCAGGGCAGCCCTGACTGTTCAACTACAAAAGTGGGCCTTGGAGGACTGAAATCCAAGTAACTAACCAAGTACTAACATGAATCCTCAAAAGTCATTCTACAACTTCATTTCCTCCCTCTGAGGCTCAGTTTTCACATCTCTAAATTGGGAATGAACCCATCCTCTCAAAACCTCACGGTCAGCATGCAAGGATTGACTGCATGCAAGAGGAAGGCAACATGATGATGGTGCCAGTGGATGACTTCAGGATCCTCAAAGTGAAATGACCAGGTCAAGGGGCAAGGGCTCTTTCTAAGGCATAAATGAAGTAGGTCTGAAATCTTCAATGACTCCACATCCCCTTCTGGAAAACGGGCAGATTCTTCAACACTGAAGCTCTCGTCCAACTGGATCTCACCTGGTCTTTCCTCTGCTGTGATCTACCTGTGCCCACCACCCCTGCTGGCCAGGCTTCTCCAGCTCTCCTCTGCTCCCCGCCCCCCCACATACACACATGTACACACATACACACAAATGCTGCACTTTCCAGGCTTTGAACCTCTGCCTGTGTTGTTTCTCCCACCACACCACCTGTCTTGTCCATGCTTTCATCACCTCATTCTTGCTGTTGCCTCTGGGGGGCCCACCTGGCTGTGCGGAAGATAAGGCTACTGCCTGGGCCCCTCTCATCCTCATGAAGACGCTGGAAGGCCATCAGGAGGCTGTAATCCAGTACGTTGAGCTCCCGGAGGAAGGCGGTGTCCAATTCCATCTGGCGGAGGAACCAGCTCCGCTGGGGCCCTGCCGGAGCATCAGTGCCCCCACCTGAGTGCTCGTCGGGTGCCGGGCAAGGTGCTGCGGGCTCCACACGCACCTGCCCCGGGAGGGCAGGAGACATTACTGTCCCAATTCACAGATGGGCAAACTCATCTGTAATTTGCCTTGGTCACCTAGCTAGAGAGTCGCAGAGCTAGGGTTCTCCACTTGACTCCAGAATCTAGGCTGTTAATGACTCGGGCAGAGGGTAGTGCTAAGGACACCCTTCTAACTTTGCCCTAAACAGAGGAAGAGCAGGCAGTGACCACCCTATGGCTCACCCAGATTGATGGTCTTGCCCTGAAAGTTGAGGTCTTTCAGCACCAGCACAAGAAGGCTGCCCTCAGGGGCGGGCTCCACCCAACGGCTCACCTCGCAGCCCTTGATGTCATACCTGGAGGTGAGGGGTGGGGGAGACAGAATTCCACATTATACAGACTTGAGACTCACAGGAACGCTCACAAGGTGATAAGAAACAAGACCAGCCATTGGGTGACTGTTCAGATTCTCAGCACAACCCCAGTCCATTATCGCTCCCTTGTTAGAGATGAAGAAAAAAACCTCAGAGAGGTTTTTCAATTTGCCCAAGACCACACAGTGACTAAAGGGCAGAGCAGGGATTCCAACTCAGGCTGAACACCAGTCCAGCCTTTCCCCTTGCCTGTGCCTGCCTCTTGGCCCCTTGTCATCCTTGGGGTATCTGATACAGTGGGCCCACACTACTCACAGAACCACAAGGGCCTGTGGGAGGTCTGCAGCCCCTGGGGAGCACCAATGTGGAGCTCTGGTGGCAGAGGAGGCAGGACTAGGAGGCTCAGAGGGCCTCGTCCAATCAGAGGCTGGATTTGAATCCCTGCTTCCAGCACAGTAGCTATGTAGATTTCCCCTCCTCAATTTCTCATCCACAAAATGGGGATGATAAGTACACCTACCCCTCAGAGATATTCTGGGAAGGAAGATGATGAGTGCAAATGACTCAACACAGCACCCATTGCCTCCTGAGCACTCAAGAGACGTTGGTCTTGGGGATCATGGTCTCGGACCCGTCAAGAGATCTTGGGATCGATCTTTCGCTGTCTATCCCATGAGTGCGGGCGCTTCAGGTGGTACATTCTGGGCGGGGCTGGGAGGCCGACTCACCTCTCAGAGATGCGGCCGGCGGGATAGAAGACGCTCTGCATGACGATGAAGTATTTCTGGGGAAGGGAATAGGGAGTGAGAGGAGACAGGGTCTCACCCTCCCGCCGCCCCCTCCGGCCCTGTCCACTCGGCTCACGCACCTTCTTTCCCCGAGCCACCCGCAGACTGTGCACTCCTGGAAGCGGAGAGGGCGTCAGGTGAGGGGCGCAAATTCGGATACGCCCCCGGGGTCCATCCTGTCCAGGGCCAGTTTCAGGCCACTCCTCCTCTTCGAGATCTGGCGCTTCCCAAGCCTCCAGGCCGCGCCCCCGGACCCCTCCCTTCCCCAACTTGAGGGTGGTGTCCCGACTTGACCTGTTTCTAGATTTAGCCCCAAATGGGCGACTGACTCAGACGGTTAAGAATCTGCTTGCAATGCAGGAGACTTGGGTTCGAGCCGTGGGTCAGGAAGATCCCCTGGAGAAGGGAATGGCTACACACTCCAGTATTCTTGCCTGGAGAATCCCATGGACAGAGGAGACTGACGGGCTACCGTCCACGGGGTCGCAGAGAGACACTACTGAGCGACTAACAGGCCCACAAATCTTCCTCCGGTCACTGTCCAATCCCAACCCCGCCCCCTTGGGGCCCCACCCAGGTCTTGGCCCCGCCCATCGACCCCGCCCCCTCGTACATTGCGGTCTAGGACCTGCCTCCCCACTGGACTTGGCCCCCGCCTCTCTGTTGCCTAGTGCCCTCCACCCTGCTCGGACTCAGGTCCCCTACGCTCCCCCCACCTCCCCCGATCCTGGAACCTTCCGACTCTCCGACCCCTCCCCTTCTCGCCCGCTCTCCTCACCCCTCCCCGCTCCCTGCAGTCCCGGTCCCGGACAGGTCGTACCCAGCAACCGTGCGAGTAGTGAGTGTGGGTGTCGCTGCAGGTGATGCACGTAGCGGGGCAGATGGGCGAGCAGCGCCTGCACCTCCCGGCCCCGCAGGGTCTTCAGGAAGAAGCGTTGGTCGTGGCTGAGGGGCGGGAGGGAGAGGTCACTGTGCAGGCCGGTCAGGAGCCGCCTCCCCACCGCCCGTCTGGCCTCCTGTCTCCGCCCCTCTCCATCGGACCGCTATCTGGACGTGAGCCGACCCAACCTGGGCATTCTCTTTCTCCCCAAGCGCACCCCTCCCCCGACCCCTCCCCCCAGACACTACTCCCCCCGCCATTCCCCACCCCTGCCACCAGCTCACGACAGAAAGAAGCTGGCCTTGCTCTTGGAGGTGCTGAGGAACTGCAGGTAGGGGCGGCCGGGACCCAGCGCGGCCTGGTAGTCCTCCTCGGCCAGCCCCAGGGAGCGCCGCAGTCGGGCAAAGGCGGGGCCAGCCAAGGTGCCCAGCTCGAAGCCCTGCGAGGAGGAAGAACAGCCCCCAGGAGTGTCCCCTGGCGCCCAGGGGTGTGCAGTTGGCCCTCCCGCGGGAGGGTCAGGGTTAAGCACACTCTTTCTGCAAGACCCCAGGGTCAAGCCATCACTCCCACTGCAACTGATGCAGAAACGGAGGAGGAGAGCTGAACACATTCTCTCCCATGCAGTGGTCTCGGGCTTCCTACCTCATGAACCTGGGTCAGGACTTCGGAAAAATCCTCCTCTGTGGGCAGCCCCTGGAGCAAGGAGCAGAGGGGCCCAGGGCAAGTCTCAGCCGACGCTGCCAGCCCAGGGTCTCCCAGAGTCTGGCACCCGGCCTCACCCCTTCCCCCCTCCAGCAGCTGGGGGCTAACCCAGGCATGCCTGAGCTGAGCAGGGAGAGCGCCAGCCTTCCCAGAGCTGGAGGGAAGGAGGAGCCGGGGCAGGTCCCAGGTGTGTCTTATTCACTGCTGAGTCTCCCACACCAGTCTCTGAGTTAGAGCCTGGCACATGTGCCCAGACACAACGCTGGCCAAAGTGTTGCCAGATGCCCTCCCGGTAAAAGGGGGTGGCCTTGAAGTCTAGGGACCTGCCTGACTGAGCCTGGGAAGAGTAGAATCAGAGAAAGCTTCCTGGAGGAGGTGCCCCCTAAGATGAAATGTGAGGGTAGTGAAGACAGGTAGCAAGGTGCTCATGGCAGGGGGAACAGCAGTGATGGCCACTGGGAAGAGGAGAGACCGAGACTGAAGAGAATAAGGAGGGGTGGACTGAGAATGAGGTTGGACAGATGGCCCTTGAGCTTGAGCCAGCAGGACACTGAGACCATGCTGAGAATTGAGGAACCCTGCAAGATTTTCAGCAGGTGATGAGATTTAGAGGACTCCTGCATCTCCCTGGACCTCCAGGTCCCTGTGCTAGGATGGGGTCACACTGCACATGTGTGCACACACACAAACGACACACATGCTCACCCGGGGCCATCCAGCTGCTGAGCTTGCAGTGGGCGACCCTTTCTGCTGAGCCAGCCTGGCCCTAGCCAGAGCTCTGGGGAGGATGGGCGGAGCTGGTGGGGTGGGGGTGGGGTCCCTTCTCAACTGCACACCCTGGCAGAAAGGGAGGACCTCAGAGACCAAAGAGTACAATCCCTCCCACCCATTATACAGATGGTGACACTGAGGCCTAAAGAGAGGCAGACACCCACCTAGATCATACATCCACCACGTGGGTTCAAGGGCTTCCTCACACCCTCAACACACCTTGGGCTTTCTGGCTTCCTGGTCTCAGCCCAGAAATGTCCCTCCTTCCCTGCACCGAGTCCCTACCTTCCTCCCCTTCTATCTGGCCTGCTCTGATCCCCAGCCCTGCATTATTAGCAGGACAGGGCATCAGCCTGGTCTCGCTGTTAGCGGAAGTGCACGGAACTGGCCACTCACCGTGGGCGGGTGGTCCATGGACACTTGAGTGGCAGCCCACAGCCCTGCCTGCATCAGGCACATCACCTGGTGCAACTCGTGCCCGGGTCCAATCTCAAACAGTCCCAGGCGACACTGCTTGTCTCGTAGACGCCAGAGGAGCCCACGGTGGCCAGAGCTTGAAGCAGCTGCTCTGCGTCCAGCCTCTGGGGAGGGGGCCAGGATCTGTGATGGGTGGCACCAGAAGCAGTCAGCATGGGGCAGTCAGCACCCCACAGGGGAAAGACCCTGGTCTGAGTCCCACATCACTGTTTGTCAGTTCTCTCCTAATCTCTCTCTGCCTCAGTTCCCTTAGTTGTAAAATGCAGAAAAGGCTGGTACCCACCTCACGGCGTGTTGTGAGGGGACCGTGCCTGGCATTCAGTCAGCACTCATAGTGATGGTTCTTATTATCAGTGGATAGAGAGTTCATTCCGTAGCCTCTCACTAGCTGTGTAACCTTAGGTAAATCACCTAACCTTTCTGCACCTCGCTTTCTGGTCCGTAAACTGAGAACTACAATAACTCCTTCGTGGATGGTATTAACTGTTGTTACTGTTGAGTCTGAGCACCGTGCACAGGATCTCCTTATAGTAGGAGCTGTGATGTCAGTGATTGAGTCATCTACTCTACTCGTCTACGTCGAATTCCTCCAGTCCCACGCCGCAGGTCCCCATGAAGCTGAGGTCACAGCTTCTGACCCATCTTCAGTCGGCACCCACCATAAGCCCAGCCCTCGCTGAGAGCTTGACCTCCTAACCGCCCTATGAAGGAGACGCTTTTATTATTGTCTCCATTTTGCAATGAGGAAACCAAGCAAGTTCTTGTGGAAAACCCTCCGGACTCCCCACTTCAGACCAGCAGCCCCATGTGGGGCGTGTCCCAGTCCTGTCCAAGTGCAGGACCCCTCCTGGGTTTGGATGGGGATGTGTCCGCCCCTTACACGGCGGGGAGACCCGGCCACTGCTCTCCAATCCTTTCCTTTCCTGTCCTCTCTCGGGTCGGCACCTACCTCGCGGGGCCCCGGGCTCGGCGCGGCCATCGCCCCCGCAGCAGCTTCCCGGGCTCTGGCCGCGTCCCCAGCTGCCGGGTAGCCCCGCAGCAGGAGCCAGGCCCCGCCCCTGCTTCTCGATCGACCAATCGAGCGGTGCCGGTCACGGCTGCACCCAATCCGAAAGGGGGAGCCGGGGATCGCCTGCGGGTCCCGCCTCCGGGGCTGCAGCATCCTTCGGATAGCGGTCCAGGGTGGGGCGGGGCCGCCGCGCGATGGTTAGGATCTCTGCGGCGTGAAGACCCCCTCCCCCCATTCCGTTCCGAGTGTGGGAGACTCAGATCTCGGGGAGTTCGGGAGGCCGGTAACCTAAATCCAGTTCCGCCCACCCATTCTGGCATGAAAATCCCACAGACCACATTTCGGGTAAGGAAACTGAGGTCCAGTGAGAAAAGTGACTACCTCCAGTAAGTCAGGGGCATGTATTCATTCAACACTTATTTTGAACACTCAGTATGGGCCAGGAGCAGTGTAGGCCAGGGTGTGTGTTGGGGGGGCGGGGCGCTGGGGAGGGCAGATTTTAGGGTAAGTGAGAGGAACACAGCTGCCAGCGTGAGCTTTTAAAAGCATAAATCGGATGATGTCACTGTCGGGCTCGAAGCCTCCAGTGGCTTCCCAAGGCACTGAAGCAAAGTCCAAACCTCCCAGTATGGCCCCAGACCCACTCTTCAGACTCCTCTCAACTCACTCTCCCTGCACCCAATACTCGGCCAAGGGGCTCTGGGCCCTCTTTCAAACCTCCAGGCTTTTGGAGATAATGTTCCTTCTGCCTGAAGTACCCACCCCCCTCACCACCGCCACACACACACCCGATTTGCTTTATTCCTTATCACCTTGCCCTACCCTGGCCTCAGTCATGATCACATCCCTTTTATTTTCTTCATCGTGCTTAACACTGTCAGAGACTGTCTTGTTCATTTATTTATTACATCCCCCTCTCCCCTACCCACAGTGCAAGGAGGGCAGGCTCCTTTCCTAGCTCAGTAACCTGGCACAAACTGGTGTTTTGAGAAACTGGTATATGCTTAACCAGTACAAGTAGGATGTACACAGAGGGGGCCTTTGTGGGAGAGTGGGGAGAGAAGTGAGGACACCTTTGGTGATTTAGGGCAGAGGACGGTGGCTGTGCATCAGAAAGGTGACTGGGGTGGGGGAAGAAATGGCAAGAATTGATAGGATTTGAGTCCGTCTGGTGGATGTGGGGTGGAAGAGGAATGCCAAGGTCAGTGACATCTGACGGGGATGTCAGGTGGGCAGCTGGCACACATGCAACACCTTTGGGCTCAGGAGAAAGCTGGGCTGGAAGCAAGCCTGGGTGAGGATAAGGTCGCCCCTAAGACTGTGGGGTGAAGAGGCCTGTGACTGAATCCTAAGAAACCTACACTCTCACTGCAGGAGAGAGGAGCATGAATATGAGAGAGAAGTAGGAGAATGGGTCATCCGGCATCTGAGAATGCACCCAGGGGCGGGGTGGGGGGGATGTCACTGGCCAAATGTGGCAGGAGGTCAAGGAACATGCCTCTGATGTTAAGACTGGACATCACTGGTGATCTGAGTGCAGCCCTCCTGGAAGGCTGCCAAGCACAGTGGGAGGAGAGGAAACAGGGGCAGGGGTGGATACCCTTTGGGCAAGTTTGGTTGTGAAGAGGAGAGGGGGAGAGACCTGGAGAGAGTTAATGGATTGATGAAGGGTCCCTTATATGGAGCCTGTAACACATTCGACACTGGAGGACCACGTTGAGGCAGAGGCTGTTCCCCTGAGAGGGATCATCAGATAGCAGGCTCTTGCCAGTGGTAGGAGAGGACAGGACCAAGTCCAGGAGGGCAGCTCCACCTGGACTGGAGATGGGGAGGGGAACAGGTAAGGACAGGGAAGGTGTGCCTGCAGCTGGGCTCTTTTTTGATGAGGGGGGCGGGACACCTCTGCTAACTGGAGGAAGAACGAGTGCCCAAGGAAGTGAGGGGTAGAGGCTCACACTGTGAATGGGAGAGCTGGCTGCCCAGAGGCACGGTGGGATTGCCAGGGGCTCGAGCTGAGGCCTGGACCAGTCAACCGGAACACAATGGAAACTGCTCTGGCTCACAGCGGCCCTCTGCTCAGAGTCACACTATGTTGGGCTGCTGGGTACGAGACAGATGATGGACTTGGGCTTTTAGGGGTCTGAGGGTCCTTAATATACCAGTGCCCACTGGCTGGGTTGGCACAGGGGAGGCGAGGTAGAGGCTGATGTGATGTCTGGCAGATGGCCATGCCTCCAGACTCCCTCGCAGTGAGCTGCGCCAGGCCAGATCCACATCAGTCCTGGCCCCTGCTTTGTCCTGTGTCCAGCACGGGGATAATCCAGGAGGTACCCAAGGCACCCTCGTTGCACAAACCAGTGTCTCCTGATCTGAGACCAATGCACAGGCCAGCTCCCAGCCCCTGGGCTCCTTGGGTCAGGGATGGCACTGAGACAAAGAAAACAGTGTTTATTGTTCAGTTCTCCCATCAGGCCAGCACTGAGGCTGGGGGGCTGGGCCTCCAGGAGAAGCAGTCAATCTGGGGAGCCCCCTGGGGCCCCTTAGAGGTCAAGGCCTCCCTCTAGGCTCTCCAGGTCCAGAAATCCTTGTGGGGTCTGGGGCTATGTCAGACCTGGGAAGACTGCCTTTGTGGAGGAGCAGGACATGTGGGGAGAGGTCACGTGATGCCCCAGAACCTGCCAAGTCCAACACCATCATATGACAAGAAGGAAACTCAGGCAAGTGTAGAACCCAGCGGGAAAAATGATAGTGGTCTGAAGGGGAGGTGTGTGTGTCTGTGGAGGGGGACCAGCATCTTCCAGGCCCTGAGTCAGAAGAGGGGTGAGATGGAGACTTCCAGGTACTCTTCCTCCCTGGCTTCTGGAAGGAGGAGCAGGGGTACTGGTCAGCCAGGGGTGAGTCCTGAACGGCTTCCATCTCACAGGGCTGTTTGCAGGGCAATCAGGCTTGAGGGGGCCTCAGTGCCTGGATGGGTCCTGTGGGCACCCCCATTGGGTCTGCCTGGAGAAGAAGCAGAGAAGGGGCCAGCAGCCTCATTCCTGCTGGGCCTTCACTGAGCCTTTTTGGTATCCTTCTGGTTCTTCAGCATCACGTAGGTGATGAATATACCTGGAATACACAGACCAGAAAAGGCAGGTAAGATCCTGGCTCAGGACTGCTGGGAGGCCAGAAAGTGAAGTGAAAGTGAAAGTTGCTCAGTTGTATCCAACTCGTTGTGACCCCATGGGCTACACAGTCCATGGAATTCTTCAGGCCAGAATACTGGAGTGGGTACCCATTCCCTCCTCCAGGGGATCTTCCCAACCCAGGGATCGAACCCAGGTCTCCCATATTGCAGGCAGATTCTTTACCAGCTGGGCCACAAGGGAAGCCCGGGGAGGCCAGAGCAGGACCCAAGCATGGCAGTGAGCCACACAAGAGGCCAAGCAGCTACCTAACTGCCCTCCAGGCCATGCCCCGGAGGCCATTTCCCTAATCATCCATCAAGCCACACTTCTGAATGCACTCATTCAACACACATCAGCTGAGTGACTGCCACACACAAGTTGCTGGGTTTAGTGTTTCTGATTCTACAGGGAATAAGATCCACTCAATGATCTATCTACTCACCTGACCACCTGTCCATCTACCGAACCACTCACCCCCCATCATCTACCTACCCCATCATCCAGAGAGCTAATTGTTGATTCATCCAAACCACTTTCTTAAGCACCAACTCAGTGCCACAGCTTGTGCTTGGGGTGAGGACATAGTAATGATAAAACCACAGTCCCTGCCCCTATAAGGCCCACATGCTAGACCCTGGGAGATAGAGAGATGCAGGAATCATGAATCAGGGTGACAAGGGGGTGAGAGGTGATGGAGGTGTGAGCAGAGCGGTGGTGGTGGAGGGAGCAAGAAAGAGGGAGACATCCCATTAGATGCCAGTGAGCCTGAGGCATTGGGAAGACTGATTTACAGCCCTGAAGGATGAACAGGGAAACCCCAGGACGTGAGTTGGGGGATAAGGAGCCTCAAGCAGATGTACAGTGAGTGATGAAGTGTAGCAGCATGTTCAGGATTGGGAGGGGGTCATGAGGTCCCCGAGACACCCTGTCCAGGGTTGGGGGAACTTACCCACAAACAGGAGCAGCAGGAGGCCGGCAGCCAGTGGGATAGCAATGGCATAGGCTCGCGGCAGGAAATACTTGTGGATGACATGCTGACTGTCGATGAATGGCTGGCATCAAAGGCAGAGCTCTAGTGAGTGTTCCTTGCTCTGCTCAGCTCCCCAAGTCCAAACAGCCCTCCTCCTCCATCTCAGGGGTTGACCCCATCAAAGCACTGCATTTGCTTTTCTCTAAGATGAGAGCACTCTGGGTGCCTTGGTTTGTTCCCTTCCTTCAGTTATCTAATGGTTGTGTACTGGGCACTTGACTGGTGCTCACCCAAAGTTGAGGCTAGAGACCTTGTAGGACTTGCCCTCACAACTTGGCAAGGACAAAGGGGACATGAGGAATCCCCAACCAGGACTCCAAGGTTTTCTTTACTAACATTTTTCTCTAAAGGATACTGACTTCTGCAAGATTTTGACCTTCAAACAAACACTGCACTTTTAAAGCAGTAACCAAAAAAGATTTCCCATGGGGCAAAAAAAATGCTAAACACTCTCACAAAATCCACTGCGACTGTCATGCCCAAGCGCCCGCAGGATAACCAGAAGGACTAGAACTCCCATCAAAAGCAAAGCAAATCAAGGACAGGACCTCGCAGTGGAGTGGTTAAGGATTCCACCCAGAGCCCTCCCCCAGAGCTTCTGCTTCCTCGCCTATAAAATAGAGGCACCTGTTACCATCTTCCTCATAGTGCTGTCCTGAAGCTTTCATGAGATATGCAGTGACAGCACCTAGCACAGTGCCCGCTAAAATGATGTGAGGAGTTGGCTTCAAGATCCAGGGATAGGAGGTGAGAGAGGGCGGGGAAGCACACATACCAAGAGAATTACCCAGGCGGTGTAATAAGTGAAGATGATCAGGCTAAGGGCGACGAGGCCGAGTCCCACCACCTGGTCTGTTCCCGTTGCCTGCAGAAAAGGGAAGATTCAACTGAGGAAGAGATCCTCCATTTAGGAAGGAGTGGGGGTCGTTGCGGCCCGATCACGTCCATTTACTCAGCTGACACATGTGACGTGACTGACTAGGTATCTTTTCTAGGTCGGAAGAGAAAGTACCGGGCCAAAGTCTATCACTCATACGATGGAACGGCGGGAGAGCGATACCGGCTCCGAGTGCTCAAGCCCCAGCTCCCGAGCAGACCCAGGACCCCACCTCCCAGACTCCCCCATTGCCAACTCTCGGCCTCAAGCTCACCATTTCCCCAGCGCTTCAGGCACCGGAGACGCAAGCCCCATCCGGTTCCGGATCCGGGCCCTTCCGGCCTTGAGCCGCGGGGCACGCCGGGAGTCGTAGTCCTCAGGATGGCCCGGGACCTCGTCGCCAGAGACGGGCGGGCACCGCCTCCTCTTTGCATTTCGGGAAATGTAGTTTCTCGAGGACATTCTGTGACGCGTTCCCGAATCTCTCAGCAGTGAGACCGAGTTGAGGAACCGAGATAGGCTTGGCACTTGTGGGCTCGGTCCTGTCGAACTCGCCCGAGGAAAAAAAAAAAAAAAAGCCCATCTCTCAATATCCCAGAGTCCTACAGCCAGAACAGGATGGGGGTGAATGGTCAGAAGTCCCGTTTTTCAGGTAGGGAAAAGGAGGCTCAAGAGAGGGGCAAGACCGGCCTGCCAACCACTCGTCTGCTCGAGAGAGCGCAGGTAATAGGGAGGAAAATGAGATCCTGCCCCCGGACCACCTGAATGGGGTGAAGCTGGAGATGGACGGGCACCTCAACAAAGATTTCCACCAGGAGGTCTTCCTGGGCAAGGACATGGATGACTTTGAGGAGGACGCAGAGCCTCGGAAGAGCCGGAGGAAGCTGATGGTCATCTCCAAGGTGGATTTGAACACCGACAGGAGGATCAGCGCCAAGGAGATGCAGAACTGGATCATGCAGAAGACCGCTGAGCACTTCCAGGAGGCTGTTGCCGAGAGCAGGGCGCACTTCCGAGCCGTGGACCCTGATGGTGACGGCCACGTATCTTGGGATGAGTACAAGGTGAAGTTTTTGGCCACCAAAGGACACAATGAGAGAGAAGTTGCTGAAAAGATAAAGAATAAGTGGGACCTGAACATCGATGAGGAGACACAGGAAGTCCTGGAGAACCTCAAAGACCGCTGGTATCAGGCTGACAACCCGCCCCCGGACCTGCTGCTGACAGAGAGCGAGTTCCTATCGTTCCTGCACCCCGAGCACAGTCGTGGCATGCTGCAGTTCATGGTCAAGGAGATCATCCGGGACCTGGACCAGGACGGTGACAAGAAGCTCTCGCAGTCTGAGTTAATCTCTCTGCCCGTGGGCACCGTGGAGAACCAGCAGGGCCTGGATGTTGATGACGGCTGGGTGCGGGATAGGAAGAGAGAGTTTGAGGAGCTAATGGATGCCAACCACGATGGGATCGTGACCATGGCGGAGTTGGAGGACTACATGGACCCCATGAACGAGTTCAGCGCCCTCAATGAGGCCAAGCAGATGATCGCTATCGCTGACGAGAACCAGAATCACTACTTGGAGCCCGAGGAGGTGCTGAAGTACAGTGAGTTCTTCACAGGCAGCAAGCTGGTGGACTACGCCCGCAGCGTGCACGAGGAGTTCTGAGCCACCGCCGCATCCCCCGGCCCCCTCCCCACCCCCCGCAGCACCTCGCGGGCTGCCCGCACTCTGATTCCAGTGTAATCGCTGCATCTCGCTTCTGAGAACTCAGAGCCCTGCTGCCGGAGACACTGACCACATTAGGGCGGCGGGCTCCCCCACCGTGGGAAACGACGAAGCTCCTGCTGTTCCCTCGAAAACTGCAAGGTGAAGCTTTGCTGGGAACCGGCAGCCAGTGGCCAGGGTGGGGTGGGGTGCTGGGTAGGGCTGTGAGAGCCGCCAGCCCATGGCCTTCAGTCTCTGAGGAGCATGAATATTGGTGACAGGAATCACATTAATTTACTTCAAAATATAGTTGCCTTTTTCCTCTCAAAAAAAAGAAAAAAGAAGAGGGGCAAGAACTTTTCAGATCACAATCTGAGTCAGTGGTGTATAGCTGACTCCACCACCCGAGGGCGCTACTTCATGGTCCCGAGGCCTGAACGTGTCTGTTGAGGGTAAGGTAAAGAAAAAGATCAAGGACCGGCCTAGGGTGGGAGGAGAAGGAGGAGCCGGGGTCCCTTCCTCTGTGCTTCACAGCCCCAAATGCATCACCAGGAAGACGCTTGTCACTGCCTTTCTGTTTTTTTTAATTTTATTTATTTTTGGCCGCGCTGGGTCTTCGTTGCTGCGAGGGCTCTTCTCTAGTTGCCGGGCAGAGCCTTTTATTGCCGTGGCTTTTTCGTTGCAGAGCACGAGCTTGTAGGGCATGCGGGCTTTAGTAGCTGCGGCTCACAGGCTCTATGAGCACAGGCTGTACCTGAGATGCAGAGGGCTTAGCTGCTCCGCAGCATGTGGGGGCCTCCTGGATCAAGGATCCAACCTAGTCTCCTGCACTGGCAGGTGGATTTTTTACCAGTGAGCCACCAGGGAAGCCCCATCACTGTGTTTTAATTATCTGATTTACTTGTTGACCTGGCCCACTTGACTGTGAGCCCCCTGAGGAAAGGGTCTGTATCCCCAGTGCCCAGAATGAGGCTTGGCACAACTGGGAGCTTTGAATCAGTCAACCAGCTTTAAGATTTTGGTGACTTCTGCAGTGCTGTAGAGATAGCATCTGGCAATACCAGGCTCTCCCTGTGCTGTCTTCACTTGGAGGGGAGGGGGGCAGGGGCATGCAAAGATCGAGTCTGAACCAAGCATGGCTTGCTCCTGCTGGCCGCATCTGTCTCTGGGTTGTCTGAGCCCATCGCAAAGCTGAGAGGAACATTTTCCCCCCATCATTTTATATATTGATTTTTCACTTAGCATGGAAAAAAACAAGTGAAAGTTGTGCCTAGTCATATCTGACTCTTTGCAAGCTCATGGACTGGTTCCAGATAGTGAAAGGAGTAGGTCAAGGCTGTATATTGTCACCCTGCTTATTTAACTTATATGCAGAGTACATCATGAGAAACGCTGGGCTGGATGAAGCACAAGCTGGAATCAAGATTGATGGGAGAAATACCAATAACCTCAGATACTCAGATGACACCCACCACCCTTATGGCAGAAAACAACTAAAGAGCCTCTTGGTGAAAGTGAAAGAGGAGAGTGAAAAAGTTGGCTTAAAGCTCAACATTCAGAAAACTAAGTTTATGGCATCTGGCCTCATCACTTCATGACAAATAGATGGGGAAACAGTGGAAACAGTGACAGACTTTATATTTGGGGCTCCAAAATCACTGCAGATGGTCAATGCAACCATGAAATTAAAAGACGCTTACTCCTTGGAAGGAAATTATGACCAACCTAGACAGCATATTAAAAAGCAGAGACATTACTTTGCCAACAAAGGTCTGTCTAGTCAAAGCTATGGTTTTTCCGTTAATCATGTATGGATGTGAGAGTTGGACTATAAAGAAAGCTGAGCACCGAAGAATTGATGCTTTTGAACTGTGGTGTTGGAGAAGACTCTTGAGAGTCCCTTGGACTGCAGGGAGATCCAACCAGTCCATCCTAAAGGAAATCAGTCCTGAACATTCGGTGGAAGGACTGATGCGGAAACTCCAATACTTTGGCCACCTGATGTGAAGAGCTGACTCATTTGAGAAGACCCTGATGCTGGGAATGATTGAAGGCAGGAGAGGGGATGACAGAGGATGAGACGGTTGGATGGCATCACCAACTCAATGGACATGAGTTTGAGTAAACTCCGGGAGTTGGCGATGGACAGGGAGGCCTGGCGTGCTGCAGTCCATGGGGTCGCAGAGTTGGACACAGCTGAGCAACTGAACTAAACTAACTGGACTGTAGCTCACCAGGCTCCTCTGTCAATGGAATTCTCCAGGCAAGAATACTGGAGTGGCTAGCCATTCGCTTCTCCAGAGGATCTTCCTGACCCAGGGATCGAACAGATTCTTACCGTCTGAGCCACTACTGAGCATTACTGTGTTTCAAAGGAGCAAACTTTTTTTGGCCTTACAGCCTATTCTTTCCCTGTCTCAGGAGAATTGGGGCTCAGCCAGGAGCCAACTCATCCCTCCCCTGGTGTGCACAGAACTGAGGAAGGGGCTGAGAATCAGTCTCCAGGGTTTTCTGGGGCATGAGCAGGCATCAGCGCTGAGAATGGGCGAGGATAATGCAGTGCTGGGGCCGGGACAAGACCTGGTAGTCTGGTCCCTTCCAGCTTGTCCAGAGATTCCTGGCATTTCTGAGCTCATGAAACGCCCAGGGTGACTTGCCTTTCCCAGAGCTTGGTGGCCATGCCAACTCTTCAGGAACTTGAGTCAAGGGCAGGGAGTGAGGTGGTCCAAGCCTGGAGACAATGCTGGCCTATGGCTCTAGGGAGGCTGGGAAAACTCTTAGCGTCTCTTGGGTGGGTCAAGAGCCCTAGGGAGGGCTGTATACCACCTCCTAATTTGATCCACAACCCCATTTGCAGCTGCGAAAGCTGAGGCACAGTCATCGGTCCTCAGGCGTGCTTGTTAGAGGCCACCTGACTCTGGGGAGGTTCGAACTTGGGCTCTGAGGTCAGAGCTGCCACCTTTTAAGTGTGAGGTTGGCAAGAAACTGCCCTTCCTGGGCCTAAGTTTCCTCTCAACGAATGTGTAGTAGTAACAGTGATAATAATTGTAATGATTGCAGCCAGGACAACAAAGAACCCTGGCCACCAACGTCTCTCCCACCCCCAGAGTGTCATCTCCTACATCTGGCTCCCTTCTGATGCCATCTGTGACCCGGGATTCAACTCAGTAAAACAAGCAAGAACCAACATGCCATAACAAAATCTGCAACATTTAATCCCCGCCCCCCCCAAACCAAGACACTGACACTAGGCTGATTTCCCCTTACAATGTTATTTTCTACAACAGAAGCTGGGACAAACACAGCCCACTGAATCAGGGGGTGGTGATGGTAACATTCTGTTAGAAAGGAGGGGTGTTTAAAAAAAAACAAAAAGCCTCCCCTCCCCCCATCTCCCGAAAGAGAGGAGACCATGGGCATTCTCCATCTTGGCGGATCATGCCATGTGGTCGGTTTGTGGGGTGACCAGAAAAAAAAAAAACACCAAGAAACCTAAAAATATTTTAGATCTTTCTTTTCTTTAAATCTCCTAGTAAAAACGTTAAACTGTCCTTCAAGAAGATTCCAAACTGGCATTGCATAGACCAATTCCTTTCCAAAAATATCTCTAATATATTCTATCTCTTTCTAAATATAGGATTTTTAGTCCAGAGCTGTGGGCACCTAATGGGAATTCACTGAGCTTGAGGGGACCAGAGGGTCGTTCTTCGAATGTGGGGCTCCCACGTGGGGATGAGGCTGGGGCTCCGGGGCTCCAGGCCTCCGGCTCCAGCCAGCATTGATTTGGTTGTGGCCGAATTCTGTCAGTCCAGTTACCCTGGCCCAGGGCCTGGCATGGGAGGGTGTGGCAGGCTCTGTCTCCTCCTGGGGTGACTGTCAAATTCAGACCTCGCCTAGGGTGGGGCTGGGGATCCTGGTATGGGGAATTCTCCCCAACAGCACCAAAACCAGCTATCTTATGCATGAAGCCCCCAGAATGTTGACTCAGACCCTAAAGACACCCTGAATACATCGCCTCACTGGGCTGAGGTCGTGCAGATACAGAAGGGAAGGACAGCGACCCCCCATCTTCTGGGGGTCACTTCAACTGCAGGCAGTGCGGCCAGCTCCCTTTTAAAGTGCCAGGTGTCTGTGGAGCAGGAAGGGACCTGCAGAGCTGACCAGAGCCTTCCCCAGCCAGAGCAAATGCTCCATCCTGCCTCGGCAGGCACCTTCTCACATTCATTTTCTAAAAGGGTTAGGTCATTAAAAACAACAGAAATCCTAGAAATGCTCTGGTCCCAATGCCAGGAGGTTCCAAGACCAAGCCCAATTCTTGCCAGTGGGGCAGAAGGCAAGGACCCCTCCCAGCCTGGGAAGGGCACCCCCCACCCCCCACCCTAGATCCCCAGCCCTGCTGGGACCCAGCCAGCAGGTACGGGGAGAACAGAAGCACCTCCCCTCGCCTGGGGGAGGAGGAAATACCAAACTGTGAACTCTTAAAAAAGAAAATGAAAGGGAGGAAAGAAAGAAAAAAAAAATCAGGAAAGAAAAGGAAAAAGGCATGGGGCTACGCAAACACCAGCCTGCTGGGTTTATACAAAATGAGTGAAATTTAGAGTGTCGGGGGAGTCTGTCCAGGGACTGGCGGGCAGCCAGAACCCACTTTCAAGCAAGTAACGAGAACAAGGCCAGGGGAAAGTGCTGAGAGCAAAGGGTATAGCGAGGGGTAGGGGCGGGGGCAGGGCCAGACTGCTCCCGCTGGGAAAACCCCCTTAATGGACCCCACCCCCACCCCGCCCTCTCCTTTGCCCAGAGAGGGCATGTTTTCAGAGGTTGGCTGAGGCTTTTCTGGCCAGGAAGCCAGCTCCGGGCCAGTCCAGCTACAGCCCATCTGCCTCTCCGCATCGGCCCCGGCCTGGGCCAGCTGAGCCTGAGGGGAGAGAAAGGGCGCTTGGCTTGGCAAACCCAGCGCAGCCGGGCTGCTGACCTCCAGGGCCTTGGGAGGCACCTTTCCTGGCTTCATTAACAGAAGCTAGCTGCTCAGGACCCAGCCCTGGGCAGAGGGGAACTGCTGCTCAGGCTCAGACCTTTCTCAGCAGGGGGCTCAGGCCTGAGCTGGAGCCAACCGGAGAGGGCAGGGAGGGGCAGGGCAATGCCACGTTCCAGCCGGGCTGAGGGCTGGGCTGCTGACCGCACGGCAGGCAGTGCCCAGGGATCCTTGGGAAGGGCTCAGTGGATGGGCAGGCGAGGGCCAGGGCGCTGTGCTGGAGACAAGCGTGTGCAAAGTGCAGGCTGCCGGGCAGCAGGAGAACATTCGCTGCGGGGGAGGTGGGGTCTCAATCTGGAGCATGGGTGAGGTTTGAGGTCTTGGTTTCCCGGAGGAGGCCGCCAGCAGGTCCCCCGGGACGCAGGGGAGGGACGGCTGAAGCACTAAGCAGTCAGAGGGCCATGGTGGCAGGATTCCGGGGGGTGGACTGCCCCTCCAAGGACAAGGGGGCAATGGAGTGAGGCCCTGCCAGGGCTGAGCCAGCGCTCCTGGAGTGAACGGGGACACAGGACAGGGGGCCCGCGGCCACCAGCCTCCCTGCATGTGCAGGAACTGCTGAATGTCCTCGCCGAGGGCCCAGGTGGGTCTCAGAGGGGCGGTGCCCACCATGGGTCTCTTGCCCACCTGCTTCATGGGCCCATGTGTCCTGCCCTCTAGTGGTTCAGAGGAGAATATTCACAGTGGTGCCCGGGGCCCTGGAGGGCCATGAGCATCCCAGCATAGATGGGAGGTCAATGGAATGATGCTTTGGGGCTGGAGTGCATGGAGGAGGCACAGATGAGAGGCAGCACGGATGGTGATCCGAAGGCGAAGGTCCCCTGTGGAATGATGCGGGTCTGGACGCCCGTGAAGGCAGGGTCCTTCTCCAGTCGGGGCACCTGCTCCTCAATGGCTTTCAATCACGACTGGCTCATAGACCCCAGAGGAGACCCTGTGGGGAGAAAGAGGTCAGCTTGTCCTCCCTGATGGTCCTCTGGGCCAGCCCTGGGAGGTACTTCACAAGCACTGTTAACTGGCCCCATTTTGCAGAGAGAGAAACTGAGTCTCAGAGAAGTTGAGTCACCTGCCCAGGGTAACACAGATGTTAAGTACCTGAGCCTGTGGAATCACAGAGCTTGCACAGACCATGTCCAAGCCCCCCTGGGTACCAGCAGCTCACATGCTGGGGTGGGCTTTGCCCATCCTCATAGCAATTCAGGCAGAGAGGATCTGCAGCAAGCCCACTTGACAGATAAAGAAACTGAGGTTCAGAGGAATTATGGGGCTTGCTGAAAGTGCAGCAGAAGGTTGGGAAGCTTGATCAGCTTTTCCCACCGAGGCCAGGCCCACTGGCAGGGCTGTGGTCATTTGGGGTGCAGTATGCAGCTCAATCTCAGTTTCCTCATCCTCAGAGGGGGCTGGAGAGGGATGTCACAAAGCCCCAAGAAGTGCCCTGTTTTCTTTCTGCCCACCCCACTAGGGGCAGCCTAGGCCACGCAAAGATGGCAGTTGCAATTTTGAGCCTCGGCCAGCAGGCATCAGCCAAGCAACACCAGAAGGCAGGTCTGAGGACCCAGTGTAGCCCAGCCAAGCCTCCTACTGCTCTGGCCCCAGATGTTAAATGGGCACTTTCCCATCTGGCTCACAAGAACCAGGAGTAAAGGCTTCAGCACAGCCCTGCAGGTGGTAAGTTCCTCCACTCATTCATTCAATGAGCCAGGCACACAGACCAGCGTACTGTAAGTGAATGATTTAGAGGATACTCTATATACTGGCAGAGTTCAAGCCACAAGTTTGATCCTCACATCTGCTTGCCTCTGAACATCATGAAGCAGAAATCTATGTTGCTCACTGCCATATTCCCAGCACCTAGCTCAGAACCGTGGATCGTAGCTGGTGTGCAGAAACTATTTGTTTAATAGATACATGAGTCATCATCATCATTTTTTAGGAGCTCCCAGGCCCAAGAGGAAGGAAAAGAAAAGTGGAATCTAAAATAAAGATACATGAAGCCCCTGCTGTGTGGCAAGCCCTGTGCCAGGCATTTCCCAAGATTCCTCAGAACCCTCCCAAACCAACCCTGGGGAGTTTGTCCCAGGTTTCCGGGTGAGGTGGTGTGATCCACATCATTTGACAGAAGGAGAAACTGAGGCTCAGACAGACATGACTGGCCCGAAGTCACACGAACAAGAGCTGGCATTCAAAGCTAGGTCAGTGGGCTGCAGAAGCCATACGCTCTCACCACGGGGACCCAGAGCCACACTCGTCACCCGCCCAGAACCTTCCCCTCGACCTACCTGTTGGCCAGCTGGATACCACTCAGGGTGGTGGTGCCATCGCGGCTCACGAACAGCCGGAGGTTGCTGTCTGTGGGGACACCGGGGAAGATGGAAGCTGAATGGGGCAGCGAAGCCAGGGAGCCCCCCAGGCACTGTCCCCGTCACTGCTGGCTGCTCACCCTGGGCACCAACCCCTGCACCCCACCTGCGCTGGCAGCTCACCCTCGGTATTGCTCCCTTCCGTGAAGTCCTGGCTCTGCATGATCTTCTCTACGATGTCATCAGCGTCAATGCGCGTGTCATCCACCCAGGTCGGGTGGCTCTCCACCGAGTCCTTCTTCCTCCTGGGGTGGGACAGGAGTCAGGACAGTCACACGACCATAGGACCCAGTCCCCCTCCACCGCACTCAGGACCCTCCGAGCGCACTTGGAAGCCAGTCCAGACATGTTCATTGAACCATCACATCAACTCTACGGTGCGGATGCTACTGTGACCTGGTTTTAGAGAGGAGGCCACAGAGGCCCTGGAAGGTTAAGTGCCAGCCTCTGAGAGGCCGCAGAGCGCGGAAGCAGGTGGGCCCCAGGGTACGCTAGACCACCTGCACCATCTGCCCATTGAGCATGTGCGCCAGGCCTGGTGGCCAGCATGGAGCATCAGCTGGTTCGACGGCCACGCACCCTAAGACCGCGGGGCCCAGTTGTCCCCGTGTTACAGGGGGAGGAGCAGAGGTTCCGGGAGCCACCAGAGGGCTCTGCTCTCCAGCAGCACTTGCGGTGAGACCTACCGGAACGAGCGGTCCGACAGATGTGGGGGCCGGGGCGGCCGCGGCGGCTTCTCGGGGGGCCGGTGCTCGCGCTCGCTGCCTTCGGGCCCCTCCACGGCCATGCTGAGGCCGCCCGAGGCGCTGCTGCTGGTGGACGTGTTCCGGCGGTGCGTCAGATCCGAGAGGCTCGAGGAGCGCGAGTGCTCCGTGCTGTAGCCTGCTGGGCGGTGAGGGTGCAGGTCATGACGCGGCGGCGGGGAGGCTGGGAGGCCAAGGGCATGGGGAGGGCGGGCGGGCACTCACCCGAGATCTTGGACTGCTGGCTGGCGTAACTGGAGTTGCGGGAGTGGCCGGAATGGAACACCTCCTCGGGGCTGGACAGGTTCTGGTCTGGCTCCTCCGGCACCCCTGGAAGCCGGGAGGGGCAGGGGTGACCAGTATGCTCGCTTCTCACTAGTCCTCTCACTGAATGTGGCGGAGTGGTGGGGCACACTATGTATTTCCACTTAAGAGATGGGAAAACTGAGGTTCAGGGGGGCAGCAACCTGTCCTGAGCTACAAGTCAGCACTGGAACCCAGGGTCATTCCTTCATTCCACAAATATTGGGGGGGCACTCTACTGGGTGCTGGGGGACAGGAAACAGGGTGTCACAGGCACCCAGTGGTGGGAAGGAAGAACATAGGACAAAAATGACCCATAATTAACCATAACTGGCAAATGGCCCACAGCAGGGAGCATATGGAGGGAGGGCGGGTCTGAAATCCAGTCTGAAATCAGGGAAGGCTTCTCTGAGGAGGTGGCCTTAATGAAAGACCTTCAGGATGTCTGGCAGGGAGCAGGCTAGGTAAGGCATCAGAGAAAAGGCCTTCCAGACCCAGGGAACAGCATAAGCAAAGGCCCTGAGGCTTCAGGGAGCTGGGGTCTGTGTAACTGGAGTGGAGTAAATAAGGGTGGGGAACACACTTTGAGGCACTGGCAGCAAGAGATACAGGGAACCAAGCAGGGTCTGCCCAGGGCTCAGAGAGCACCCACCCACCCACTGGTCCTTCTGGTCTACCCAGGAAGCAAAGACTCTTCCATCCTCTTAAGACATGAGCACACCCAGGTCATAGCCTGGCCCCTAGGCCTGTCTGTGTCCCCACCCAAAGCCACAAGGCTTTTCAAGTCCCGGCAGGTTCTCTGCCTCTGAGGGGCTGCAGGGAGAGAGAGGCTTGTGGGGCTCAAATTCCCACCCAACGTGGGACAAGCATCTCTTTTCTTACACAAAAGGCACCACATGTGGTGGGGGTGCCCTGGTCCTCAGATTGCTCCTCTGGGGACCCCCACCCTGAAGTTGGAGAGAGCAGTGGAACTGGGAAGGCCCCTTCCTGCATGCAGCCCCCAGGCTGAGGCAGGGGAGAAGCCCAGCTTTCTGCTCTGGGCCCCACCTGGCTGGTGTGCAGGACAAATGGGAGGGCAGGAAAGCTGGCCCTCGGGGTCAGAGGGTCCCTCTCAGCTCCCAGCCCTGGGGGCAGACTCAACCCAGCAAACAGGACCTGAGGCCTCGTGCCCTCACTGTTCTTGTGGCACAGGTTAGGGCCACCATGTGCCACCCTGCTTACCGATCAGCTTGGGGGTGGTCCACCTCCCAGCTCTGAGCTCACCCTCAGGGACGGGGTGCAGGGACCAAGGCTCATGCTTTGTTGGGGGAGGGCCTACTCCACCCCTTACAGCACTGGGCTCCTTTCCTGGTAGTACCCACCCCTCTTAATTGCCACACCCACTCCTCTGGGGAGTCAGGCTCATTTGCATTTTTTGTAACATTAGTAATAATGATAATTCAATGGAAACATGCTGGGAAATAGAGAGGACTACCCAGGTGCCAGGAAAGGCACATGCATTTACTCAGTTCCTCCCCAGAGCAACCCAGATGTGGTTACTACTGCTGATCCCATTTTGCAGAGGATGATGCTGAGACCTGAGACGTAAAATGGCCGGTCAGGGTCACAAAGCAAGGAGCAGAACAAGAGCTCCTAGCATGTCCCTCTGCCAGGAACACGGCACAATACACCCCAGATTCAGCTCAAATGACATCCCTTCAGGGAGCTTTCCCTGGTTGTCCCCAGGCGGATACCTTCTTATATCTCTCTTCCAGCTCTCGTCACAGTTCTAGGCAGACAAGCATTTGATGTATTTATTGTTCATTGACCCCTGTCTCTCCTGCTTGACAGGGAGAGCCACGAGGCCAGCGACCTGATCCATCTCGGTCCAAGGCGCTGCTGTGATTCTGGGGCCAGGCAGAGCCCGGATCATGGGAGGGGCACAGATGCCCACCCAACACCACCCCACTGGCTTTCTCTGCTCAGCAAGTGTCCCCCCTTGGGACCTAGGGACTGAGGGAGGTGAAAGCCTTAGTCCCAGGAGGAGTGCGGAGGGCAGGTGGGGAACGGTACCTGAGCTGAGGATGGTGGGCCGAGGCTTGGGGGGCCGGGACCCCGTCAAGGAGTTGCTGCTGCTGCCACCGCGGCTGGTCCCGCCACCCTTACACGTCAGCTGCAGGGAGGAATCCTGGCCTGGAATGGAGATGGACTTGGCAGTGGACGGCGGCCTAGGTAAAACAGAGAGGGGTGTGACTGGGGTGCCCTAGCTTGGGGTCAGGAGAAGACAGGGGACCCCACGAGCCTGGAGGAAGGAAGAGTCCCTGCTCTTCCCCCCACAATGTCCAGGATAGAGCCCCCACCCCTCAGCTGGCCTGCACCAGCACTCACGTCTTGAAGCAGGGGTCTCCCGAGAGCAGGAACATTCCAATGGTGACCTGTGCAAAAGCCGGGAGGATCAGCCACGCCCCGTCCAGCCCCACCAGCTCCCCCAAAGGTGCCTGGCCCCCCCTGATCTGGCTTCAGATGAGCTTGGACTCTGATCCCATCTCTGTCCCTTGCTGGCCCTAGTGACACCATCAAACTTCACTAAAGTTTCCTTGCACAGAGGACAAAACTGATCCTAACCCCTGCCTCGTGGGATGGCAGAGAGGATGCCTGGGGCACCTGGCATGGAGTGAGTGAGGAGTGAAAGTCGGCTACTGTCATTTCAGAATGACGACTAGACTGTGGGACCCTCAAGGGTGGGGCCACAGACACTCTCCATCCTCACAGCCCCCAGAGCGGGCAAGGCAGGTGGGAGGGCGGCTCTTGATGCCTACCCTGTGGGGGAGGGCCCACCCTGCCTGACACGGCGTGAGGGTTCAGAGAGTCCAAAACAGAGGACATGGGTGTGTGAAAGTTTGTTGAATAAAGCAAAGCAAGAAGTCATTAGAAACGTTTAACATCCACTTGGGCAAAGAGTTCAGCAATGGTTCAAACAAGGCAAGATTTGGGTCCCCGAATTGGGGCTAGGATGAAGTGACAGGTGATGGTGTGAGAAGGAGAATCCCAGGGATACCTCCCACAAAAACGGTGCCTGCTGGGGTGAGGCTGAGATTTTTAATGGGTTATTTCATTTGGCTGTGATAGCAACCTGCCACGTACGTGGTGACCCCTGGCTGTAGACACAGGAACTGAGACTCAGACTCAGGGGAAATAAATGACTGTCCAAGGTCCTGCAGACAGGACGTGGGGGAGTTGGCCTTGGACTCGAGGCCCCCTTGATCTGGTCTGAGGATGCACTGAGGCCCTGGCTCTCACAAGAGCTAGCCTGGACCTTTCCAGGGGCCTCTGGCTTCTTTTGCAAAAGGTCCAAGAGGTCCCAGCACCCTTGCCTACCACCTCCTGCCCAGCTCTGCCGGACACAGCACACTTCCGCTGGGTCAGCTCTCAGGGCTGTGGTTAGGACAAGACTGTTTTCTCAGCCAGGTGGAAGGGTGTGGAGACGAGGAAGAGAGGTGCGCTGACAGTGGACGCCCCGATATCTCTGTCCTCAGAGGTTCAGGAGGCAGCTGCCTGGGTCTGCCGGGTCCTGGGACAGCAGGTCCGTCCATACCCCGGTGCTGGAGCTCAGGTGGCCTCGCGTCATGTGGGCCAGTGGTTAGGAGCTGGGCTGCAGGGTCAGGTGCCAGCTTTGCTGCGCCTTCGGGTGGGTGATCAAACCTCTGTGCCTGAGCCCCTCCTGTGCAAAACGGGGGCCAGGAAGAGACACCACTCCCTGCCAGGCTGTGGTCGGGCACCACGAGATAAGGCGTGCTGGTCTCACCACCAGAGACTGTTGGGGTCCACCCCCTGAGCCCCGATTATGGTGGGCGAAACAGGGCAGTGGCGGGTTTCCTGACCCCAGGGCCCAGGTCTTTCCAGCGTATCTTGCTGCCCGTCTTGGGGTGAGAACCTGTGTTCTTCGCTGCTCCCCGGGGGCCTCTGACAGGGAGGTGGCCCGCCCCCGCCCCGGCCCCGGCCCCGGCCCCTGGGTGGGAGGGGCGGATGAGGCCCAGAGCCCCGGGTACCTTGAGGATGGAGTTGTCCTGTCGGGTGTTCTTCGTGTCGTAGCCCTCCAGCAGGCAGCAGCGCACCGTGGAGCCTGACCCTGCAAACTCCGCCAGGTTCAGGTCGGTGAAGCCCAGCTGCGTGGAGACAGAGGAGAGGGTGGGAGGCTGAGGGGAGTGTGGGCGCAGGGCTGGCAGCCCAGAGGTGAGCTGGGCCGGGGGCGGGGGGGCCGGAGCCCCAGGCCCGCCCCAGAGCCCCAACAGACTGTTGCATAACCGGCACCCAAGGACACAGGCCCCGGCTGGCGGCTCCGCGTGGCAAAGCCAGGAGCTCACATCCCCGGGCTGCACAAAGCGCCCTTTGTGCCGCGTCCCGGCATGCACCGGGGCAGCGCCCGAGATGAAAGGACATTGTTGTCTGCGACACAGACGCACTGTTCCCGGGGGAACAAGGCCGTGCTGTGGGAGCCCCCAGGCCAGCGGGCAGGAGGGGAGGCCAGGCCTGTGGGAACTTGGTGCTGGGGTGGGTGGGTGGATGGGTGGGGGGCACTCTGCTGGGTGGGCGGGAGACCTTGGTGGGGGCAGGAACCAGGGGCTGGTGGGAACCCCGAGCCGTCACGGGATGCAGAAGGGAGCCCGGGGTGGGGAGGGAAGTGAGAAAGTGGAAGAACAGGGTGGATGAGCTGAGAAGGCCTCCTGGGCGGAAGCCATATCTGCCATACCTGGAGGTTGGGGTGCGGGGGGTGGGTGCTGAGCTTAGAGACCTGGAGGACAAATCAGGCTAAGCGGGGACTTTCATTGAGCACCTGCTGCATGCAAGTCTCTACTGCAGAGTGTAGGGCACATGCTTCAGACCCAGAAACTAAGGCTCAGAGCGGGCAAGTGACCTGCTCAGGGGCTCACACACATTAGCAAACAGAGCCAGGACTGAAATGAGGCCTGATCAGTGTCAGATCTTACCACCTTTCTGGGCCTCAGCTTCTTCCTCTGATTAAGGGAACCAGAGCCTGTGGTGGGGCTTCCCAGGTGGTCCAGTGGTAAAAACCCACCTTTCAATACAGGAGACCTTAAGAGACATGGGTTCAATCCCTGGGTGGGGAGGATCCCCTGGAGGAGGACATGGCAACCCACTCCAGTATTCTTGCCTGGAGAATCCCATGGACAGAGGAGGCTGGTGGGCTACAATCTGTGGGGCTACAAAGAGTTGGACATGACTGAAACGACTTAGCACGCACACACGAGCCTGTGACAGGAGGGAAGGGCCTGGGAGGTCTGACAGGTGACACAGCAGGTTTGTGGGAGGAGGGGGTGGGAGGTGGGTGCTCCCGCTGTTTGCTGAGCATTTCTTCCCTGGCTGTCCTTCACCCACGTGCGTCACCAGGAGGAGAAGTCTCCACTCTAAGAGCACCTTCCGCAGCCTGGTTCTAGCCACCCTGCCCTCTGCTTCTGGGCAGGGTGTCGGCGCCCGGGACAGGGTGAAGGGCATGGCCGTGTCCACTGAACTTCCTGAGCTCTGGTCGGTGAGAAGGGACCCATCCCGCTTATCGCCTGCCTCAGGCTCCCCACGCAGGGTGAGGTGAGACAAAGGCATGTCCCCTCTGGACTGACTGAGCCCACCTCCCTGCTGCTGGGCACCTCCCCGGGCCCCAGAGGGTGGGCGAGAGGCCCCACGAGAAGCAGGGCACAGGGCAGAACAGGCTGACTCAAAGCCAGAGGTAACCCTTCCAGAGCCATCTTCCCCCACCTTCCCCAGTGGAAAAGGCTTTAAACAGGAAGGTCTGAAATGTCTGTGGGCAAGGGGAAACCTGCCCACCACACAAATGTGCAGCTGCTGGGGTGACTGAGCCCCCTTCACCCATCCAGACGAGGGGACCCTCCACTGTTAGAAAGCAAAAGGAAACTTGTGATGACACAAAAACATGCCCATGCTGAATTGGGTAGTTAAAAAAAAACAAAACAGGTTTCAGAATCTGTAGGACAGTCCCTCTTGTGAATTTAAAAATCCTATCACTTGTGTGTGCTTAGGTACACCCATGGGGGCTCCTCATCTGATCTGCTAAACTACATGCACATGTTTTATTAACTGCTCTGATTGAGATAGTTCATGCATTTTTTCTTCTTCTTCTTTTCTAAAGTATTTATTTATTTATTTGGCTTTACTGGGTTAGTTGAGGCATGTGGGATCCAGTTCCCTGACTAGGGATCGAACCTGGGCCCTCTGCATTGGGAGTGTGGAGTCTCAGCCACTGGACCATCAGGGAGGTCCCCCGCTTCATGCATTTTTGTTTTCTTAAGAGGTCTGGAAGGGTGTGAGGAGGAGGCCGAGGGAAGCACATGGTGGGAAGCCCTCTACAATCTGTGCTGTAATAAGCATCTTCTGCCTTTACATTAAACGCAGAGGCTATCAATAAAGATATCTCCAAAAAATAATACATCTCATAGAGGGCAGGGCGTCTTCTGTTTGGGTAAGAGAGGTGGCTGGAGGTTCTTCTTAGAGCTTCCCTCATGCCTGTCCCATCCCGTCCCACCCCGCTGCCCCTTCACCTGGCCTGGCTTACCTTGGAATAAGCCTTCCCACCTTTTAGCTCCTGCAAGGGAAACAGACAAGGCGATCAGGATGGCTAGGGAGTCCCAGCAACCTCATGGGTCTTCCCAATCCTCTCTGCCCCACTCCCCATCTGACCCCCAGGGGAGGAGGACAGGAAATGAGGTAGCCTGACTCAGTGGATGGGCCCAGAGCCACCAGCCTGGTGGTCCTGGCAGCCCCCTGCCAGCCTCACCTTGCGCACCGACACACGGAAGATGCAGGGGTCGAGCAGGCCAGTGGCCGGGTTGGCGCTCATCTTACACACGAAGGTGAACCTCTTCCGCCACCGCACGCAGTTCTCCTGCACCTCCTCCCTGCGGGCACAAGGGGGGGGGGGTCCACGTTTAGGGAGGTGAGGGCCCTGCCCACATGCGGGGATGGGCAGGGGGAGCTCTCCCTTTTCACTTTGTATCACAAAGTGACTGCAGTTTCATAACAAGAATCTGCTTGTGGAAGTGTGATAAAAACAACAACAAAAACAAGATAAAAAAATGAAAAAAAAAAAAAAAAACCACAAGGTGAGTGAGGGTGAGAGCAGGCTGGCGGGGGTGGGGTGGGGGCAGCCGTGTGTTTCCAGCACTGCCTGCCCGCCAGCCCCCACCTTGTTCTGGAGCCTCCGACAGCTCCTTCAGCTGCCATGTCCCCCCTCCCGCTGGACTGCGGCTGGCCATCTCGAGTGAGCCTCACAAAGGTGTTCCCGGGATGGACTGCCAGCCCTTTTCACAGATGAAGAAACTGAGGCTAGATAAACTGCCCAGTATCACCCAGCCAGGAGACAGCTGTGCCCTCAGTCCAGTGCTGCCCGGCTCCAGAGCCCCCTTCTTTACCAGCAGTAACAGTGATGATAAGAGCAACAATATTGATGACAGCAACAATAGCAAACACTCACACCACGCCTTCCTATGTGCCGGACACCACCCAAAGCCATCGGAGCCTGCTCCAAGCGCTGGCGATCCATGGTCATGCTAACCCTCCCAGCAACTGTCTGCAGCAGCTACTTTCAGTAGTCCAAGCCCACATGCAAAGAAAATGGGACCTCTGGGGCTAAGACCCTGGCCGGAGGCCCACCACGAGCAGAGCAGAACAGGGACTCGAACCCAAGCAGCCGGACTCTGTGCCGTAGGTGTGTCTTCCCCACTGGGTCGGGGGCAGCAGGGGACAAGCTGGCTTTACAGCTCCTGGAGCTCCCCCTGGACCTGTGGAGCATGACCAAGCCCCACTCCCAGTTCAGCACCCCCCGCCCCCCACCACTGGGGAGGTGCCTTGTGCCCTGGGGGTGAATGGGGGCCGGCAGAAGCAGTTCCCCCAGCCTCTCCAGCTGCGGCGGCCCTGGAGGTGGAAGTCGGGGGTGCAAGTGGTTATGACTTCTCACGTGAAGGAGATGAGGTTTCCCCCCGCCCCCGCAGGGCAGGATGTGCTCAGGAAGGGAGGGGCCCACGTGAGAGACATTATCTCCAGCCTCATCCCACCGAACAGGAACGGCCCAGCGGACAGCTGAGGAAGTGACCGCTCCACCCACTGGAGACCGGAGGGTTAACGGCCAGACTGGGGCCTGAGGGTGGAGGGTCAGCCACAGGTTGAGCATCTCCTGAACACTTGCTTCCCCCGGCAACTCTGGAAGGGGACGGACTCTGTCCCTCCCCTTTTATACAGTTGAGGGTACTGAAGCTCCCAGAGACCACCCAAAGTCACACCCCCCAGAGACAGGCAAAGCAGGATCTGAGCTCAGGACTGGCCAATCACAGGGTCAGGGCGCCCAGCCATCGTCTTGGTTCACGGGTCAGCGGCTCGGGAGAGGCTGGCACGTGGAACCCATGAGGGTCATAGAGCCAGCTGCAACATGCTTATTCCCCGAGGCATCTATCTGGATCTCTGAGTCCCAAGTCCAGGCCGGGTGCTGGACCCTGCAGTGGACTGGAGTCACAGACTTGACATTTTAGTCACCCCAGTGATGACTCAGCATCACCAGGACAGAGCAGGGGGAGTGGTGAGTCAGGGACAGTTACTAGCTGCAGAGAGATGGCACTCAGGCGCAGACCCGAGGGCAGAGGAGGGGAGTAGCCAGTGGGGGAGACAGTTCCCAGCAGAGGGAACCGCATGAGTGGGAAACGGACACACTCTTGGGTTCTCGGCCAATGAAGGCCCCGAGCCAAGCCTCTATGAGGAACTCCCTTCTCGCCCCACGAGGCTTTGTGGATGGGACCAAGGCTTCCTCACGTCCTGCCAGGGCTGTGATGGAAGCAACACGACTCGGTCAGGCAGACCCGGGCTCAGAACCGTACACTGTGCAGCTCAGGCTGAGGCCCAACCTCTGCATCAGCGTCGGTGAAACCGGCACAGAGCCACTCATCGCGGGCCCCTGAGAGCATTCAGGGAGGTGCGGCCGGCAAGGGCCAGGCCTCGGGAGGCCCGAGACAGGTCTTATCTGATGAAGACGCTGGAGCTGAGGGGCACTCAATCACCGAGATGCTCTGACCTTGTTAGGAACGTGAGCTCCAGCAACCCCAGCAGACTGGGGACAGACAGAAAAGGTCAGGGCTCGAGAGGAGGGGGAGAGGAAGGGAGAGTTCCCAACCCCCTGGCGGACATGGGGCAGGAAGCAGGTGCCCCAGGAGAGGCGGCGGTCCCAGGCCGGAGCACCATCTGACCCAGCCGTGGTGGGCCCCCTTCATTCATCAAATGATTGAGTACCAGCTGTGTGCCAGTCCCTGTTCTGTGCACTGGGACCACAGCAGTGACGAGCTTACATTTCGCTGGAAAGAAGAACTACAACTACCTCTACTGGTAGATGACTTGATCTGGTATGCAGAAAATCCTAAGGAAGCCACTACCTATTAGAATACACCAGTTCAGCCAGGTTATAGAATACAAGGTTAATATATAAATATCAGTGACCTCCTGTATACTAGTGGACATCCACAATGAAATGAAACAATTTCATTTACAATAGTGTCAAAAAGAATAAATTTAACAAAAGAAGTACAAAACATATGCTCTGCAAAACTACAAACTATCAATACCTTGCTGAAAGAAATTCAAGAATATCTAAGTAAATGGAAAGACATCCCATAGTCGTGGACAGAAAGATTTAATCTTGTTAAGATGACAGTATTCCCAAATTGGCCTAAAAATTCAATACAATCTCTATCAAAATCTCAGCTGACTTTGCCACCAAAAATTGAAAAGTTGATCCTAAACCTTAGAAACTCAAGGGACCAGAATAATCAAAACAATCTAGAACATACATAAAGGATTCACATGTCTTGACTGCAAAAATTCTACAAAGCTACAAATTAAGAAAGTAAGGTTCTGGCATAAGGATAGATACAAAGACCCAAGGAATAGAATTGAGAGTCCAGAAACAAATCTTTACATTTATGGTAAATTAATTTTAACAAAGGTACAAATGGGGGAGAGAATAGCCTTTTTAACAAAAGTTGCTGGGACAACTGGATATTCACATTCAAAAGAATGAAGTAGAACCCATTTTTCACCCCATGTACAATAATTAACTCAAAATGAATCAAAGGCGTAAGTTGAAGAGCAAAAAACTATAAAATTCTTAGAAGAAAACATAGGGGTAATGCTTCATGATCTGTGATGAGGCAACAGTTTCTTAGATATGACACCAAAAGTGCAAGCAGTAAGATAAAAATATAGATATACCGAACTTCATAAAAATTTAAAAACTTTGTGATTCAAAGAACACCATCAAAAAAGTGGAAAGACAGCCCACAGAACAAGAGAAAATATTTGCAAATCATATATATAAGGGACTTGCAGCTAGAGTATATAAAGAGCTCTTACAACTCAAAAATAAAGACAAATAACCCAATTTAAAAATAGGCAGATAATCTGAATAGACATTTCTCCAAAGAAGATATACAAATGGCCAATAAACACACGAGAAGATGTTCAACATCAGTAACTATCAGGAAAACACAAAACTGTAACAAGCGACCACTTCACACCCACTAGAACAGCTATAATCAAGGAGGATAATAACAAGTGTTGATAAGGATGTGGAGAAACTGGAACACTCAGTGCACTGCTGGCAGGAATGTAAAATGGTCCATCTGCTTTGGAAAACAGTCTGGCAGTTCCTCAAGAGGTTAAACTAGAGTTACCATATGACTCAGCAATTTTACTCCTAGATATAAAGCCAAGAGAAATGAAACACATGTCCATACAAAAATTTGTACACAGATGTACACAGCAGCATTATTCATAATAGCCAAAAAAGTGAAAGCAAACCAGATGTCCATCAACTGGTGAATGGATACTTAAAGTGTGATATATCCAAACAATCGAACATTATTCAGCAGTCCAAAGAGCACCTAAACATGCTACAGTGTTAACTAACCTTGAAAATACCCTGCTTAGTGAGAGAAGCCAGTCACAAAGAGTATACCTTGTATGATTCAGTTTCTAAGAAATGTCCAGAAGAGGCAAACCTATAAGAGGCAGAAAGACTGATGATTGCCAGGAGATGGGGAAGTTGGGGGAAAAAAATGGGAATAACTGCTAATGGGTATGAAGTTTCTTTTTAGTGTGATGAAAACATTCTAAACTTGGCTGTGGTGACAGTCACAACTCTGTGAATATACTAAAAACTTTAAATGGGTGAACTGTGTGGTTTGTGAATTGCAGCTCAAAGAACAGTTACCAAAACCAAAACAAAAGCTTGGTAGTTCAAACAGAGAGGACAATGGAGCACAGAGAACAGCGACAGTGGGTAGGGAGTACCGGACGGAGATGAGAGGGGGAGCTGCTCCTTTGGGCAGGTGGGCAGGGAAAGCCCTGTGGCAGTGATGTCTGATCAAGGTCTGGAGTGAAGTGAGGGTGTGGGCTGAGCAAAGACTGGCGGGGAAGAGCCGTCCTGATACATGAACAGCAAGTGCAAAGGCCCTGAGGTAGAAACAAGCTTGGCCAATGGAGAAGTGGCGTGGGGGTTCAGGGGCTGAATGGGACTGGGGAGCGGAGCAGAGGGGATGAGGCAGTGGAGGGAGCAGGGTTAGGTCCCGCTGGACCGTGGTGAGAACCCTTGAGCCTTCCCTCTGACAGTGCCTCGGTCTTGCCATGATGGATTCCGGGCTGAGGGCCTCAGCCTGGAGGAGGTGGGTGGAGAGGCACAAAGACTAGACCATTTCCCACTGGGCAGAGGCCCCAAGCCCGAAAGCAGGGAAAGCGAGGGGGCAGCAGGGACGCCAGAGCAGACCCTCAGACCTCCGCCTGCCCCTCCACTGGCCTGAGCCAGCCCAGGAGTGGCAGCAGCTGCTGCAGGCTGAGGAGGAAGCTCACAGTGCCAGGCGTG